AGAATTGAATAGTGTTCTGTGGCTTCAGGACGACTAGATTTCTCACTTTGATTTTGGAATTAGAAATATAATTACAAAGATCTCCACTAGAGGAGATCATAATTCATTATTTATTCCACACATATAAAATCTGGTTAAATATGCTTCCTCGTTTATAAATCAAAAGTTTTTTTTCAATAATTCCTGATATTTTAAAGGAAAATTTTCATGTATTTTTTTTTTTTTTTTTTCATGTAGCAGGTTTAAATAATCGTTGGTTGAAACCACACTAATTTTAACTAACAATCTGAAAATGACACAAATGACGGGAACTCTTTCATAATTATATTACTCATTGGCATTAAAAAGAACTTAACTTGGGTTGACTATTACCTCAGAAGAATTTTTTTTTTTTTAAATTTTTAAAATTTAAATGCCATACAGTCTGACAATACGTATATAATAATACATAATAATAAGTCTGGTTATACTACAGCCATATCAGTGGCCGATAAGACCGCTAAATATTAGTTGTTCGATTTGGATTCAAACTCAGGTGAACGAATGCGATGTCTGTATGGTATTTTTCCATGTGTGAGTAACATGAGTATGAGCTATTCGTTAGAAAGTCCTGTATAAAGGCATCTTTCTCCTTAAAAGCAGATAGTCTTCGTGTCTTTTGCTGTATTCAAATAATCCTAGCCTTCAAACTACGGCACCTATCACTCTAAATCAAGATGAAAGTTTTCTAAACAAGATTTTTAAATCAGGCTGTGGGGGTTCCAGTGGCCAATCGCTAAAACCGCTGAATACTGGTCATTCGACATGGGTTCAAATCCTGACGAACGCGTTTTTTCTATGAAAGTTTTCCAGCGTTTTTCTACGTTCAGTGTGGATGAGATATAGTTACTCTTAGAAATTCCCTCCATGATAGTTTTCAGTCCTCTTGCGCAGATTTCAAATCCATTAAATTTTCTTTATTAAATGCAATTATAATTCTTTTGTTTTAGAGAAATTGCAGGGGAAAAAACTGTAAACATCAAATCGAGTGCGATTACGAATATTTTAAAATAGTTAAAGTTTTGAGTGGGAAAGCTTTTTTAATACGTTCATAAGCAACTTAAAATTAGGGGAAGAAAAAAATTTTAAATTGGCATAAAACTTGTCGATTTCTACAACAAGCTGTATAAATGCGTTTTCAAAAACTTCTGCTGAAATATGGAGAGTTGTATTTGTAAAGTATTTATTAGTGAGATCTGTAATTATATACTCAGCTTTAGTTTTCATAACCTTCCATTCATCAGAATAAAGTCATTAAGCGTAAGGGGGGCAAAAAAGGAATTTTAAAGAAAAGATTATTTTTACAAAATGACTCAAAATTTCCTGAGCTAGTATAAGTAATTATATAACTCAAATAATTAAATATTTGTGAAAATTTTGTTGACCTCTCTTAGTCTTACCAATATTTCTGTATAGATATAGAACATAATTAAATATCGATAATGAGTATCATAGATAGTGGAGGATATAGAATGAGCATCACAATATATAATTGTGTTTGTCGCAAAAGCAGCCACTTTGATAAATGAACATAACTGTCGGGAATCGTGTATGAATGTCACATACATGCTTCATAATACCAAGAATGTTATAATAATGACGGTTATCTGATATCAACATTTATCGAACTTTCCAAAATGTTTAAAAATATAATATTTAAGAGTCGGCAAGTTTGTTTAAAAAATTGTTTGCATTTCAATCACGGTGTTTGTCGCTATAATCGTCATCGATATTTAGACTATTTTCTCGATTATCTACCGAGTTCAAATTTTGTACTCGCACCGTTTATGGATGGAAATACGGCGTGGTAAACCAAGTTTTATAAAATTCGATTTTCAGGTCTTAAAATTTAATGTTGAAAAAATTTTTTGCGCATATTTCCATTTAAAGAATAAACTAAAAATCTCGCAGATGTTAAGTTTGCATCACTTAACAGAGCGTAAAATAGCTTTTGAAATAAAATTTGCATAAAATTAATATAATTTCTGATTTTGGGCAAATTTTTAAAACTTTATACTTTTATGAGGTAAGACGAATTTTGGAAGTAAAAGACAGAACCAAAAGGAGAAAAATAATTTGTCGTACAGATTAATGGGAATAAGAGCCCCTTTGAAAAATTCCTGTACGGTTTTATAACAAGAATAATAGATTCTTAAATAATGAAATCAAATAATCAAATCGCATTGTCAAAAGTATAAGATTTATAAATTTATCAAGAGAGCCGCACGTTTTTTATTATTCGTGATATAAATTTGTAGAAATTTTTTTAAAAGAGAATTATTTAATCACGTGTTCCCAGTAAATTATATAATACATTATTTATTTTAATTCATTAATAATTTTATGAGTCATAAATAAAAGTTTATTTTGTTAAAAACTTGTTTATTTTATTCAATAATTGTTCTAAAACGGAAATTCTTAATTCCTTTTATATATACATTCACTTTGTACCTGGTAATAAATTTGTTTCCTTAGAATCAGTGTAAGGCATTTATTTCAAAACATCAAGAAGACTTTTACCCATTGTCGTCAGGGGTGCGTGGACCCTTGTCCCCTTAGGCAATGGGGGTAAGAAGATGTACAAAAATACGGGCTAGCCGTTTTTTGGCATATTTTTTTGCTATTACAAAAACACGGGACGACCCGTTTTTGAGGGTACATTTAAACTAACAATAATCCGTAACAAACCGTTAAGAAACCTCCATAAAAGAACAAGAAAATACGGGTCAAAACCATTAAAGGGTTAATGTGTGGTGTAATTTTAAATAAATAAAATAATTTGATTTAGGATATTTTAAAGTATAATGAAAATTTTTTAAATTAACATTATCTTTATCTTCTCTGTATTGTTTGTATCACAAGTGCATTTCGTTCTGTCTAAGACTCAAAATAAAATGCCATTATAAAAAATGTACATCCAGCAGAAGTAAAAATTTTAGTGACATGAAAATGCTACACAGATTTCTAATGATTTGCAAATGAAACTGTGTGTACTTGATTGCCCACTATATTGTTGCAAGACAAAATTGTTAGTTCTGACCAAAATATGGCCAAACTGTTGACAAGGGGGACAATGTCTATCCAGTGGCTACTGTGAATGACTGTTGCGAACCATTTATAGATCTCTTTGTCAGTTAAAGCTATAAAAGACGGGATATTCTCTAATGAGGGGAAATAAGATGGGGGGGTATGACAGGTGTACCACAGCTGGCTTTAAAGGAAATAATATTTTCAGTACAACAGTTGCACCACCAGTTTAAGGTAGTTAAAATTATTTGAAAAGAATGCTTAATATTAATGTAGTATACAACCTACCTATTTTATTTTTTAGATGGTGCTATTAAAATTGGCTGTTCTTATAATCATTTCTTTTTCCTGCCATTTGACATGTGTTCAGATATAAAGCTACTGAATTTTTCATTTTATGAAGCTATAGTTTTTGAATAATAAAACTGTTGAAATTTATATTATATGCATTATTGTTTTTCTTCCCTATTTGATTTCATTAAAAAAAATTATAGAATATCTCAATCTTGGCATCGCACACTGCACACCATAAACATTACACATATTTTATTGTACAGGCAGTATTGTTTTTCTCCTCCTATATATAGCAATATGTTTTCATGCAAAAAACATCAGTGAATTGCACAAACTCTGCATTGAATACATTAAACTGAACATTATATGGTACTTCTCTGTTATGCATCTTCTATGCATTTGTGTATATGTACTCTTCCATTATGCATCTGTGTAATCTAGAGATATCTGGATGCGTGGCAGGTTCTTAACCGAAAAGTATCCGTTTTATATATATTGTTGTTCTTCCTGTATACACAGCAGTATGTTTTCACTTAAAAAACATTGGAGAATAGCAAATCTCGTCATAGCGGGCATTAAACTTTACATATATTATATTTTATTATTTTTCTCCCTTGTGTACATAGTATGTTTTTACTTAAAAGACATCAGAGAATTGAACAAACTTTGGTTGGCTCTCAGTCTTGGCATTTTGCGCATCTAAATATTATACAGATTATATGATACGTTACTGTTGTAGTATTGTTGATACCTTTCTGGCATATAACATTAATACTTGTTATTAAAAATAATAATGCTGCCCAAATAAAGCCATTACAAAACAATGAAAAAGTAGGTTTACTAGGATAAAATAATTATCGGTACTATTCCGTTTTGGGGATCATAAAAAAATTGCAGCGAAAAATGTATGCTCAAAAGCACCAAATGTAGCAAACGCGCCCATTTAACAGCGCGCCAAATCTAGCGTATGCGCTGATTTCAAATTGCATAAGTTTAGATAGTTCTATATTTCTTAAGACGTGATTGAAATACTAGTTTAATTTTAAATCCCTTTTTGATAATGCTATGGATTTAACAATTTGGGAATTGCCCAGTCATGAAAAGTCTCCAATAGAATTTTTTCAAAGAAAAGGCATCATTCAATATAAAATTATGTTTGAACAACCAACGAGATGAAATTATGATTTAGCGATAACTAGGTAGCGAAGTAGCGATGCAGAAATCCATTCAGTTATGTTTAGCCTTTTTTTATATAAATGATAATAATGATCTGAAATAGTTATTCACTCTTATGCTTCCATTCACTTATGTTTAGCCTTTTTTATGTAAATTATAATAATAGAAAAGTATTATATGAAATTAACCTTTCATCTAAATTAAAACAAATAATCTTAAATAGTTATTTACTATTATACTTCCTTTCTTGTGTTAGGGTTGCTGCAATTATTTTTGGCAGCACTGGCATCAACAATAGTTTGGCGATTTTTTTTACGGTCCTCAAAACAGAATAGTATCTAATTATCTAACACAGAAATTGCCAAATTTGGCGGGCTACTTGTTTTGTACTTCAACTAATTTAAGTTTAGTAGTTTCATAGTTCAATATCTAGCTTTATGAAAAAAAAAAATTATCCTTTCTAGATTTCATCTGTTAACATGGAATGTGGTAGGACGATCTCCTGTAGAGGACTTACGGAATGCACTGGGGTTAGATGAACCTGTTGATGTCTCAAATCTTCCAGATTTCTTTGGATTGGGGTAAGTAAATATACAGATACAAAAGAGAAAGATAGAATATTTTTTTATATGTACACAACAAACTTTTTATTTGTGGGAAAAAATACAATAAGAACCTGCTTAATTGAAAACTGACTTAATGTTACTTACATATTTATGCAATAAACTTGCTGCAATATGGTAATCTTTTACAGATGATTAGGTAAAAATTTCTTATCGAGTGCAAATGTTATTTTCACAACTTTCTTTAAAAAGTTGGAATGTTTTTTTTTAAAACATTCCCAAATCATATTATTAAAGAAATGGATTGTAGCGTGCTGTACTGCAGAGTTTTCTTCCTTTTAAAAAAATTTTTATGATTGGATTTAAATAATTATTCACGACAGACATATAACTGTTGGATGGATAGCATTTCCATCAGGTTCATGTAATACATATTTAATACAAATACATAATACAAAATTTCTTAAACAAAAGCCATCATCACGTTAAATTTTAAAGCTTTAAAATTCTTTTGTTATATTTTTTTCGCTCAGCTTTTGTATATAAACAAGCTTCTTAATATGTGTGTGTACATGTGTTCAGCTTCTTGTCATTTTTTCATCTTCTTGAAATAAAAATATCATAAATATTTTTAGTCATACTGGAGATAATCTCTGTTTTCTGCATAAATGATATTTTAACCTGTCATATATATATGAATTTAATGCAATTAAAATTTACGAATGCATCCACGTATATATTTTATAAGAAATGCTAATTGCGTTAGCTTTTTTACCAAATTTATTACTTTTTAGCTCTCGTATTTGTTATCTTTGATCCAGAAACATTTTGAATGCTGTCTGTACTAGCTTCAAGAATTTAAATTGCATATCTCTTTTTAATTAGTTTGATGTATGAGTATGCTGTGCATGAATTTGTGTCTACCTGGTTTAGTGTTTTGTGGTTGCACTTGAAGTAATAGAGATTCATGTCGAATCCATATATACAGTACAAAGTCTTTAATCCGGACTCATCTGGACTTCGGCGATTCTGGATTAGGGGTTTTTTCCGGATTATGGATCTTCAATTTAAATCTGGTAAGATGGCATGCAGAAATTATAAAATTAAAAATATGAAACCATAATTTATGAAATAAAGTGCAATTATGATCTAAAGGGTATTAAAATTTACAAAAAAAAAAAAAAAAAAGCATAATATTTATATTTGTTTACTTCATTAAACATTTCTTTCAATGTAAGTTGCTTCGTTTTTTGTGCTAATACTTTCTCTTTAATTCTCTCTTCTACTTGGATCTTGGATCATTTCTATACTTCTGGCTTCAGCTACTAAGAGCTCTTACCAGTAAATAATCTTTAAACCATAGGCCATTAAGGTTGTAAAATTAAAACGTGTGTTGACAAACACACCGTGCCCAATGGCGAGATCAATAAATGAGAGAACTCATAATCTAAGTTTGCTAAAATGCATATCATGGGAAGCGTAGCTATATCAATGGCGGCGAAATGAAAGAATTGGCAAATCACATGATCAGTGTTCTGTCAGAGTTTATAAATTGATGTTTTTAGAAATAAATAAAGTACGAACATGGTAAAACACAACAAAATATGTTGAGAATAAAAGTCCTAAGTCTTTTGAAATACATGAAAATCTGTCTTCTACAAACAGTCTCTCTGTTTAAACAGTTTCTCTTTACGCGCATGCGTGCATTAAACGCGTATGAATTAATAACTTTCGATGCAGTTTAGAAGATGGAGATCAGTAAAATTATAAGGTGTACTACAAGGAATGTAATGCTGCATACTGGGTTTTTCATTCTCAGTTTTTACTTTCTACAAATGCAGCACTTATTTTGGGACAATTTTATCAACGCAAATTTAGAGGGTTCTCACACTTTTAAGCCACGCCCCATTTTGTAATCGTGTTTATGTGATAAAGTCTGTCTGTCTGTCTAAGGTGCTTCGAGGGTTGTCTGCCTAAGGTGAGAGATGCCTTTCATGGAAGAATTTCTAAGGCAAACTGGCTCGTATAGACAAGACCAAATCATTGAATTTATATTTAATTAGCCTGAAGATTTTAAGTGATTACTAATGGAAGAGTCCTTGCAAAATGGGACGTGCCTTAACGGTATGCGAAAGCTGGATTTTTGAAACTAATTTGGTACTGATTTAAGGAGGGAATGCTTGGTAAGCGAAGTTGTTGTTGATTGATAACGTAGCACCCTGAAATTTCTGGAAAATGTGCAAACAAAATCATAAAATCTTCAGATCAATAGTCAATACTCAAATGTAGCAACTAATTTTGGACAGAGGAAGTATCTATGTCGTACATGTTATTATTTTATGCTGCTGGTGATATTGAAATACTTAATATTCATCACTAACTGGCTTAAAATTTTATATAAGATTCATTGTGATTAATGTCATATATGTCATTATTATATGCTGTCGGTGATATTGAAATACTTGGTATTATTTTGAATATCTATAGTATTGAATTTACTCTTCAGAGCTCTAAATCTGCATTATTTAAAATTTTATTTTTTAAACTGTAAAATGTTCTTAGATTACAATTTGAGTTGTACTTTTTTTAACAGATGTTATTTAGAAATTTACAAAAAAGAAATTAATATATATTAATATCAATTAATATATATTATAAATTAATATAATATTAATATAAATTAGCACTTAAGAAACGGAAATTCAAAACGAGCACTAAATAAAATTGTGCTAAAGAAAGTTAATCTTAAAAAAAGAAAAAAAAGAAAAAGAACACTGGAGATGACTGATTTTCATATTCACTAGTTTATAAATATATATTGTTTCAGTTGTTATTTACATGATGTCGGAACCACCTTAGTAGAAGTCACCAAAAATCTCTCTTATTTGAGTTTTAAAGTATGTAAATTCATTGACGGCTTTGTATCAATTAAAATTTAACTATTGTCTTTTTTGTATTATCGCACCCACCATCAGAGCGTGCCACGCTCTAGCAACCGTGTGCTTAACAGTTTTTCAGTTTTAACAAGCAGTGTTGCCATGTTCATATGCATTCTTTTTATTGTATTGCAAATTTTGACAGTTTTCATTCACAAATCGTGATGTTTTGTCTTAGATTCAAATTTAAAGCATGCTTTTGTGGGATTTGCCTGTGGTAAATGAAAATTATAAAATTTCTGAAGGCATACAATAATTTGCCACAAAATCAGTGAAAGGGACAGTTAATTTGAACCTATAACATGACTACCTGATATTTCCACCAAAACAAAACTCACTAATAAGTAAGTTTATTGATTGATTTTCAAGAGATTATTTCTCTTAAAAATCAATCAATCAATAAACAAAGGATAGCACAAAAATGTATGTAATAACATGTAGGTATAAATAGTTTTTTAATTATTGGGCACATTTCTTCTGTAAAATATTACTAAACTGCACCAAGGTGGTTGTGTTAATATGTAAATACCTTTAATTTGTATCTTGAAAATGAAAAAACTAACAAACTCAAAAGCATAAAAAATTTCAAAAAATTAAAAAAAGAAAAAGATGTACAAAACTTCTCAATCAAATTTTTCCATTCTATGGGGAAACTGGTCATTGAATAAGCACTGATGCTAACAGTATTTAAAAACATTAATTGAGCTGGAAATTTATGATTAAGGCAGTCTCAAAACAGAATTTTGCGTCGAATCACTAAAAACATTGAATCACTTTTCAAATTGTTGCCAGCAAATATTATCGCCCTTTGTTAAATCGCTATCAATCTATTATCTCTATCAATGAACAAAATTTAACGACAAAGAACCTGCATGAATGTATGTATGTTTCTCACATTATGAAACACAATGGTATTTAGAGCCATCAAATTTTGAATAACATAGACCTCCACCCCAATATAGGCACCTGGAATCCCAAATTTTGAATATGTTTTTTATTAAAACCTTAATAAATTCTTGATTAACCCTTTAACTGTCACGGGCGTATATATACGCCTTGCTCAGCTGATGCGTTAACTGCCCCAGGCATATATATATGCCCTTCCAAAATACTACCATTTGCTTTGCCCTGCTACCTGTAAAATTATTCACAAAGCTTTGGAATGCAACACCACAATGACCTTGACAAAGTATGCGAAGGAGGATACTATTTCAGAGAAGTGTGGGGAGAAATTGGAGAGAGGGATGCGTCTAAAACGGTGAAAGTAATGACTGTGCAATATTGGCTGGTGGTGTTTGAGTAAAACTTTTTTTTTTTTTTTTGTTTTCATTCTGTGTCCTCCGTTTTCATTTACTTTTTGTAGTAGGTTCCAGGATTAAAGAAAGATATAACAGATGTTTCAAACTCATATATCTTTTTCGAATTATTTTTTGATGAACTGCTCGTGCTTCATATTATTACTGAAACTAACCGTTTTGTAGACGAGTATATGAATCAACAGCTTGCAAACGAAAAATCAAGAACAAAATTCGTGGCATTCAACCAGTTCAGAAGAAATATATGTATTTTTAGGCATACTGATTTCACAAGGTATAATACTGAAACCTGATATTTCACTTTGTTAGTCTAAAAATAAATTGATCAAAACTCCATTTTAGGGATCTTTTTTATAATAAAAACATCATTTTTATTATACTTACATCTTTTTATTGTACTTTTACCCTAAAAATTAAATTTTGTGCATTCATTTTTTTTTTCTTTTATTCTTTATTTTGTGAAAGTAAACAGTTTTTAGAAAGTAAAACTTGCACTTATTTTTCCCCTAATACATCGCATAACTACACGCATGCGCCTGTGGGAAAACCGTGGCACTGGGAAATGAATCTTGTGCATTCTCCGTGGCAGTTAAGGGGTTAACAATGTGGGAAACCGTGGCACTGGGAAATGAATCTTGTGCATTTTTCGTGGCAGTTAAGGGGTTAACAAATCAACGATTTAACCCTTTGCAGCACAGTGAGTCCAGTCTGGACACATCTAAAAATTTCCTTCTGTACGCACAGAAAAATTGAATGAAAAAGGATTTATAGGTTACTCTGAACTTTCTTTATTTATAGAAGATGGCAGCTCAACACAAACCAGTCCATATACTTTAGCCATGTTTAGTTTTTTTAAGACCCTCATTTTTCAAAGAAATAATCCATATATATTTTTAGGGTATAAAAGGAATTGTTTAAAAAGAAATTTCTATTTTATTTTTTGGCTGTATGCTAATCTCTTAATTCTATATTAGTTTTAAATTTTTACCTTGAAATCTTGCCTAAAATCAAATGGCGAACCGTAGGTGTGCCCAGAGCGGGATCACCGATAATATAGGACAACTGAGAGTCTGTATTCTTTGTTTCTCCCGCATCTCATCGGCCAGTTCATTGACAACAATGCTTGTTTTAGCACTCTTTTCAAAACTCTATTCAATCAGTGTGCCCTCTTTGAGCACACCCACAGAAATAAACGATAAGTGCTATCTTCACAAAATTTTACTTGTGTACTCCTCTAGGCCTAATTAGACTGCCTACCCCCCTTTTTTCTAATCAAAACTCCGACTTTAAAAGGTTGCCTGCCGGAAAGGGTTAAAAGCAAGCAGTGGCGACACGATACTGAATAAAATATTTTTATCTCTGTTGGAAATTCTAAAGATATACTGTTTTTAAATATTTTGTGATTTTGTTGCTGCATAAGTGTGAAGAGCATAGTATCTAATAAACAAAGTTAACACACAAAGGTGTTAAAAAATATATGCAAAAAAAGAGTTTTTAATCCATCTTAATTACTAAAAATTGATATAATGAACAGAGAAAAAAAGAGTGAAAAAAATAGAAAAACGTGTGTGAACACTTAATGCTGCATTTCGAATTCTAAACATATGCTGCTATTCTGCTTTAAAAATTTTTTTAAATTTTGCTTTTGAATCATATATGGCGAAATTTTATGTAGAAATATATTTTAATCGCCAAAGAGGGCGTAAATCTTTCATGATGTATACAGTCAAAAGTCGTTAATTCGGACACCCATAATCCGGAATGATCTATAGTCCGGACCTCAAAGCTAAAAACTTTCTGCACATGTGCCGCGTTGCACATGCGCATAGGCATTTATGCGTGCGCGACCTTTACGACTGCGCATATGCGTGTGCGCAAGTGCAGAGTATGTTTTCGCGTGCGCATTTTATGTATAACGGACGGTATGAGCTAAAATTATCTAATTATCTATTTCAGTTAATGTTGATGACTGCGTTGTTCCTTAATCTTCGAATTGAATCGGGCTTATTATTTTTTGCAGACTGTAAGAGCAATTTTATAAAAGTAAACTTGAACTTTCGATTATGTCAGATAGAATTTCCAATGCTGGAGCTCGCAAAGGATCTACAAAATGAAAGTATGTTTCGATGTCCATCAAAAACAAAAAGTGGCCATTTTTTGCAGCAATATAAAGACATGAAGAAGGTGACAGAGAGGTTAGTGAAAACGAAAAAATTTCGATTGACAAGTTAGTTGGTATTCTCAGCACAGCAATTACGGGACTTGGAACAGCGGAACTTTGTAACTGAACAAGAAATTATGACTGTTTATAGAATTAAAGAGAAAGTATTATCACATAAAATGAAGCAACTTAAACAACTTACATTGAAAGAAATGTTTAATAAAGTAAACAAATAAATATTAAGTTTTTTTTTTTTTTTTTTTTTTTTTTTTGTAAATTTTGATACCCTTTAGATCATAATTGTTCTTTATTTCATAAATTACGATTTCATATTTTTAATTTTAGAATTTCTGCATGCCATCTTACGAGATTTAACTGATGATCGATAATCCGGACTCGCTGAAGTCCCGACGAGTCCGAATTAACGACTTTTGACTGTACTTCTTGTTCTTGGATCTGGCAGTACCAGTTGAATGTGTGTTGACTTGAATAAACTTGGAATTTTAAAAACCTGATTCGTAATGTTCATTTACCATTGTGATGTTGTGTGTGATTTGAATTAGTGTTTCTTGAACCAGGATAACTTGAATTCTTGATGTTTATTATAATATTTTATAATAACCGTCAAGTGTGAAGAAATTAATAAATGTTAAGTGTGAAGAAACTTAATGGTTATTTTATAATAACCATTTTAAACCGTTATATTTTATAACCGTTTATAATAACTGTTAAGTGTGAAGACAATGATACTTAATAATAAAGGTAGCTGGAGTGAGTGCAAGAGCAGACTGATAGACTGTGAGCTCAGCGAGAGTGTAAAAAACCTTAACAAATATTTTGGGTGATCATTAAAATTTGAACTCTTTCAAATTTTTAAAAAAGTTTTTGTTATCTTAATTTTTGATGCTTTCTGATTTTCCTCATCTGCAGTTTTAACATTTGGTATAATTTCCATGTTTTGGGAAAATTTTCAGATATATGCATAATAGTCAACACACCTATGCATAGACCATACATGTGTTTGATTATACATGGTTTTAATACTATTTAATAACATTTGTAATTTTTCATTTTGCTTATCAGAGCCCCAAAAGTATATTTTTTGTGGATCATAGTGAAATGTAATGACACTGTGGATATTACTGACTGATGAAAAAGTAAATTGATTTGTTCTCTTCAGAAACACCATATTTTTCCAGTAATAAAGAATTCAAAAGTTCACATCTGTCAAATTTTACTTCCTAAGGGATGCAATTTGTAAAAACATCATGGCAAAAAGTACAAGCAAAATGTTAGAATCTGGGTAAGAAATTAATTTGAAGGCAGCTATATGTCTTTTACAGCAACTTTTTGCTTTATTTATTGCCCGACAAATGAATGTATGTCATTTTTTATTTCATGATTTGTCATTAAACGTTTTTAGGCCATAATATTGCATATTTTTCGTGTTTTGTACATGTAAATGCTAAGATTATATACATTGATTTATTTAAAATAATTTTTTAGACTTCAAGAAATAAGTTGCAAGCCTCAAGATATTATAGCAGAAATTATTGTGGAAGATCCGTGGGACGTTGCATTTCGAGCTGCTTTAAATAAATGGGACTATGTTAAGGTAAAGCTACTTAAGTAAGATAAAATTAAATAAAGATTAAAAAACTAAAATTTTATAAAATAATCTCCAGGATTTTTATTATTTGTTATAATTTATAAATGATCCACAGAAGTTATCAAATTATATACAGCTATTCCCAGAATTGAAATTACACAGTATATATATATATAATTAATTAATACATTTGTATTATAGATATGTAGCGTTCAGGGTTTGTATGGTCCTTAAGAGTCCTTAAAAGTCTTTTAAGTTTTTCGGAAACGATTTTTGGTCCTTAAATGTCCTTAATTTTGGCCAAAATCGGCAGAGGGTCCTTAATTTTAATCAACTGAAATTTCTGTCTGTTTTTACAACTGCCATTTTGAGTGTGAATTAGCATTTTGGAGAAATAATTTTGGCAATTCACTGACAGGTATGGTTATTTTTTGAACGGGTTCATGGGTTATAATTTGTTCTTATTTCTAACATGAATGGTGGGATACTCGAGTTTCTGAGCAAGAAGAGAAACATAAGCACTTCGAAATTATTTCATTTTTTCTAACAAAGAGCTCTTAAACAACTTTTTGCATTTTGGGATGTGAATTCTTTAATTAAACCGTTCTAAATTTGGTGACTTATCAACATTTTGGCGATTTTAAGATCTGTTTCTGTAGAAAATTTTGAATTCCAAGATCTAGCAATTTTTTAACAGTTTTTTTTTAGAACATTATAACACTGATGTAACACTGATTTAACACTGATTGTAACACTGATGATGAATTTTTAGAACATTGTAACACTGAATTTCATTTAAATAATGGTAATATTTTGGAATTAAATTTATGAGATAAGATTAAATTAAAGCATTTTAATTTTTTGTTGTGATATCATAAAGTTCTATTTTGGCTACTTATTATATATGTGGGAAATAAACAAGGTATAATTCTATAAAGCACCATTTACGAAACAGTTCTTAACAAAAGCTGCTAGCTATGTGATTAATTAAAAATGTGTTTTTAATTTTTTCATGGTAAGAGTTTTTCCCATGTAATTCTCTCAGAATACTCAATATATGAATCAGATTTCTCCAGAGCTTAAATTGCACCCGAACCCTGCTCCGGTACTTCTTAGTTTTGGGGCTAACTCATAATTCTAGTCGGAGCTCTAAATAAGAAAGCTGTGACACATCTTTTATGTACCTGAACAAAATTTCAGTAGAAATTTTATTTTGAAAGTTTTTAGTTTTAGTAATAAAATTATATTAAAAATCGCTTATTAAATTTTAATTTACCTCTTCATATTTTAAACTTTTAAATTTCTTTAAGTGTTAATTATTGAATTATTTTAATAATTAATATTTAATTTTTTAATTATTAATGATTTTATTTGTCATTTTTATTTATTTTTGTACCTCTTTCCTGACGGTGTTCCACAGGGCTCCAGCACATCTAACTTTAGAAATTAAGCCCTGTTTTTCTCTATAAAATTAATTTTACACTTTTTCCCTCCTTTTTTTTTTTTTTTTTTTTTTTCTTCAAAATATTTCTGGCTTTATGTTGTGACAGAATTGGGTAGGGGTAATTTTTTTTAGGATTTTAGACATTGCAACTTAGAAAGTTTAGAAAGATATGAAGGCAAGATTTATAGACTCACAATTCTAGAAGATTTCAGAAAAATGTGACAAAATGAAAAATGTCTCCATAGTATTAACACTGTACCCATTCCTGCGTGCTCTGGGCCCCAATCTGATGCAGCCGTTCCTTAATTAACACTAACGCAGGCTAACTCTAAGTGTATTTATTAACAGAGCATGCAGGAACCGGTACAAACAAAATATGCATAAAAATAAGGCATTTAAACATTCAAATTACTGAGACATCTAAATACATGGAAAGCTAACATCGTCGTGGCTGGAGGTCAACTGAAGATTGTTCCTTTCTGCCACTAGATGGCGTTTAATAAAATAGTTCGGTTACAGTTAAATAGTTCTGTTACAACACGTAATTTCTTACTTTTTGTTAACGTCTGGAAGAACATTGAAAACATTATAGTTGAATGTTTTACTTCTAATACTAGAATCTTTATCTTAACATTTTTATCTTTCCTTTATTTTCTCTACTTTTCACTAGACACAAGCATGGAAAATATCAAAAATGCTTCTAATGTTATCATATGGACAGGCATTATAGAAAAAAATTCTTTTGTTAATGAAGAAATTGAAAACTGACAATTTAAAAGATTAATCTAATCTAATATGTCTTAATGCGTCATACACAGAGCTGGCACTAGGCATTTTCCCTCCTGATGCAGTGGATCTTAAATTCTGCTGCCTGCTGAATTTCTAAATTCTGCTTCCGATGCCTGTTCTAAATTCTAAACATTTTTGCCATTTTTAGACTTTGTTGTCCAGTATCTCACTAAATTCTAAAAATTATGCCATATCAGCTCTCTAACCGAACTTTACTATATATATTTCATATTTCCTCTGAATATTCCTATATTACTAAAGAAATAAAATTAGCAGCTTTTTTTATAGATTCTAATTGCATTTAGTTTATTTAGAATAACAAAAATCTTTAATTAAATTCAAAAATTTTAAAATGAAAAGGAAACTGGGAAGAAAGAAACTGAATACGTGAAGAAAAATAAAATTATTCTTCAAAGATATGTACAGTTATTATTACGTAAATTTCCAAGTTGTTTACAATTTCAGTCCTTACTATAATTTTCCATTTCTATTTTCTCACCAGAATGCAAATTACATAGACAGTTTTTAAACTGAGGTTTTTGGAGTGTAAGACAAGAGTGTGTTTCCCACTTGCTCCCTCCATTAGTACCTGCCGGCTCTGATAATTTGTAATTATTTGTCTTTGCATTACCATTGCTGACATTTGAGTTGTTATGATGATACAGTTATTGAGCAAGCTTAAAATGAAATTAAATTGCTTAGTTTTTGACCACTAGTCCATATTTTTAGTTTGAATGTGATTCTTCTTGTTTAATTATACATCACTACGAGCTGTAATTGATTTTTGTCAGCATAAGAACATGCCTTTATTTTTAAAGTTCTTTTTAAATAAGAAGCTTATTTAAAACTTTGTCTGGCATTGCAGTTACTTTCGGACATAGCGATGATTTGCTTCATATCTGTTGAGGGGTTTTGGACTATTTAACTACCATATAAGGTATTTCTCCCGCCTTTGTGATGTGGTGGTCTGCATGCTAGACACGTATTCCAGAGTTCTGTTTTTCGATTCCCGGTGAAGGCGTTGCTAATTTTTCATCTTGCCTGCTTCCAAAAATACCTAATGTCTCTACAGTGGCACCCGAACTAAAAGGGTGTTAAATGATCATTCTCCTCACCCAGTTGGTGATTGGTTCCCCTAAAAACCCCAGTCGCCCTTTAAAAGGAAGAGTATATAATGTATTTCTCCTGCATTCTTGGCATGCCTTCATGGTGTGGTGGTCTGCACGCTGGGCCGGTATTCCAGAGGTCCTTGGTTTGATTCCCGCCGAAGGTGATTGCTGATTTTTCATCTCTACGGCTTTTCCAATTAGCCTGATGTCTCTACAACCAGATCAAATAAACCTTCATAGGTACGTTATGGATAGGTTGACAGGTTAGGAGATAAAACATGTAGAAACAAGTGAGAACATTCTTTTATGCATTGAAAAAAATTTCTAATTGTTAGAAAAGATGCTTAAAGAGAAGGAAATTGACATAAATTAGCCAAAATGTCCGGGAAGGCATCAAATTAAAAAGACTCATAAATATTTTGTTGAGTATTGTTGCTGCAAAACATAAATGTTTTGTAGCTTTTAATGTGTAATTATCCGAATATCATTTAAGAATCAATGTCATAAATTACATGTATTTCAAACTATGAAATTTATTTAGATTGGGGTTTTAATAGAGCTTTTTTAACAAATATTTGTTAAGAAATAAATAAAATTTAATAGTGGCCATGTCAATCCATATAATGACTAAGATTATCTACGTGGTCACAAAATAAAACACAAAAATGTAAAAAATTCATATAAAACTTATTTTTCACATCTAGTGAGACTTAAAATAATGCAAAACAACTTACCACCTCTGGTACTTTAGTGGCTTATTAGAACCTTAGAGTATATTAACTGAGTGACAACCCCTGGAACTCTACACAGAGCTATGACACTAACTGCGTCATACAGAGCCCAGCTAACTTTCAGAACTAGCCAACCATGCAAGCTGCTAATTTTATCAGGCCCTTTCAGGTTTGTTCTGATCAGCAGGTCTCTCTCTAGGCAAGCAGCAGCAGTGACAACAGCCAGTCTTTTATTTGTGAATCGTGCTGATTATGATTTTACTTCTCATTTCAACCTATGCCGCTTGACATAAAATCTGCTTACTATTTACTAAAGCTCTAGACTGAGCAAGTATGTGACAAAATGAGATATAAAATAAAATCAATATAAAACTAACTGTTAGTAAAGTGTAAATAAAATGTCACTTATCTCCTTTCAAATATGTTCAGCTCTTATAAGTGTAAAATATATAATGCTCCATGTTAAATTTCGTAAAGTTTATTTTATTCTTAAACTTAATAATAATTTTGATAATTAGGTCATGTTTAATAGTAATGCATCTTACTTACGGATCTATTTTATTTTTAGGATGGTATTACAAAAGTGAAGTTTAGGCATAGATAATATTTTTAATTGAATTTTTTCAATTCCCATTTGTTCACAGGTCCTTAATTTTTTTTTCATTAATGTTCCTTAAAAGTACTTAATTTCTGTGTGCAGAAATATGTACCAACCCTTGTGTTGTATGTCAAGGGTCTCAAAGTGACGGCATGTGGGCCACACATAGCTCGTAAATGCATTTCATTTATGTTTATATTTGCAAATACAGTGTTGCAAAGATTTCAAAATTTTAATTATTTGAAAACCAAGCTTACATTCAGCTGAGTTAATTAATTTACAGTGCTGTATGAATCTTATTCAAAGATTTGAAGATACTAATTTGAATAATTTATCCTATTTGTCAGGGAAAAAAAGTAAGCTGAGTTACATATTTTTTGCACTAATAAATGATCACATTGTTTAGGAGTATATTTATAAGTGAACAGCTTTTCTTCACAGTGGAAAATTAATACAAAAAAACAAAAAAAAACAAAAAAAAAAAAAAAAAAACTAGATTAACTAATGAACATCTACAGTCCATGATGAAGAGGATTTCTAGTAGTTTTTATGCACTGCACAGACATTACACAATTTTTTATTTGCATAAAAACATATATATTTAAATTTATGCATTGAAGAAAAATTTAGTCCATGGTGAAGATGATTTTAAGTAATTTTTGTGCAGTTCACGGACATCATACAATTTTCTATTCTTCTACAAAATTAATATTTATTTGCATAAAAACATGTATATTTTAATTTATGCATTGAAGAAAAAATTAATAATTAAGAGAAAGACACTAAATTGTCATTACGTATTCTCAAGTTTTGTCCCACATAAAAACTTTTCTCTGTAAATTTAAAAACTTTCATAATTTATTTTTATTCTAAATTAAAGTAAATTATTTATTAATTAAAGATATTAGAATTATTTAAACTAAACATCAGTCTGAAAATTTAATATTTAGCTATCAATATATTTGAATTACAAAGTGTAACCAACAAAAATATCTTGGAAGTACCAAACTTAAAATTTGAGGTAGAAAATAAATATAAATCAGAATTGCTTCTGTTGATAAAAAATTTTCATTTTGTTGAAATATATAAATGTATATTCTGGGCTATCCAAATTCTGGCCTGTAAAAAATATCTAGCTGTTTTCAGATTGTCCATTCAGCCCACATATTTGTTTAATATTATTTAGGTTGCAGTGGTGGAAGTGCATAACTATTTATAAAATTTATATTCTATAATATTTATTTTCTAATTATGTTGTTTCACATAGCCAAACACAGTACTGATGTATAATGCAATTTACCACTTTTAGTTATTTATATCGTAGTTGAGGCCACAAAATTGCTGCTTTTTAAATTGAAAATAAATACAAATAATTAATTAATTTAATACCCTATTAGTTGTTTAATTTCATTAAATTTAAACTGCTTCTAGTTTTATAAAACAAATGCAAGATTGACCCTTAAAAGGGTCGTTTTTATTACTCGTTTGGCCATATGCGCTATGAATGTTATGTAGCATCGACAAGGAATAATCATCACTTTTATTAACTTATCTGCACCATTCATCTTTGAGATGACATCAAAGTATTTGCAGAGAAATAATAATCTGTATGTCACGTAGAATCTTTAGCTTCAAAATTCCTCAGCTTAATTTAATTGTTTGAGTATTAGTACTGTCCTCAGGATTGACAAAGTTCTTTTGGTTATTTTGAGTTCAATGATTATAGGCTACGATTATAAAAGTGGTAGATTCCAGACTACATCAGTACTCTGGGCACTTGCAACTTTATAGATTCTTCAGAAATGACCAATACCCATCAGTTGTTTAGTTGTCTCATCTTCTAGAATGCTGTCACCATAGGGCAACTGATTTTACACCTGTGAGAATATGAAAACTCTTTCCCAATTTCTTCCCCCCCCTCCCGGTGTGGAAATCTGATGATCACCCACCTCAAGAGAACTTAGGTTCACTAATGTGTGAAGTGTCCCTATGCTGCATAGACATTATATACATTTACAAAATACAAGCCTATTTCAAGTTTCAAAGCTAGGCCCAATGGCAGCCGGCATTGCTAACCATTATACCATTTAGGGTGTTTCGAGTCATTTTTTATTGTTTAAACTTTGCATATTCAACTTTGGCAAGATCAGGGACTCGATTAGAAATTAAAAAATACAGAGGCTAGAGTACTTTCATTTATTTATATGAAAATATAAAAATGAACACATCTTAATTAGTTTAATCTCTTTATTACTTCACATAAACCCCCATAATAAAATTGGTAAACATATAAAATAATTTTCTTAAATAAATTTTTAAAAAATTTAATGTCACGGTCACAACTTATAGTTGATTCAACGTGCTGAGTATGAGAATATTGTGCGTGTTTAAACTAGCAATGTGGTTTCCAGGTGCACATCATTGATTTGTGCCTTTTTCTTGGATTTCGTAAACTTCATCCTTGAAAAAAGTTGTTGGCTTTTATAGTATGCTTCCAAATACCATTCTTTTTTCCCCAGCAAAAACTGTAAGATTTGGAAACTTGTTATGTTGGAAACAGCTTTTGTAAAACTCAATCAGCATAATATTTTTGATTTTTGTTTTTTTAAAAAAAAGGTTCTCTTGTAGTTCAATTAATTCCATTTGCAAAGAAAGTCGACAGTGATATTTGGAAATGTGTTTGCAGCCATATGAAATCAGGACATGGGCCAGATCTGCCTTTGCGGGCCATGTATTGCATATGCCTGGTTTAAATATTATTTATGTTTATCAGATAAATATGAATTATTTATTAAGGTAGTATTTTTCAAACTAGAAACTGATTGGCAACAATGTAATTTAAATTCAAGTTAAATCCAGAGATCAATCCAGAGAAAACTGGCAACAATGTAATTTAAATTCAAGTTTGGTAACAGTGAAAAGAGGGTTTTTAGAATTGTTTTTTAGTGGTGATATGACCATGTAACCACTCAAAAATTAAGTAACTAAGTAAAAACTAAATAAAAAAGTAAAATAAATAAATAAATAGGAATGTCAGATAATGTCTCTTTTTATTATTAAGGAGCTTAATGCTTTAAATTTGATGTTTTGCCTTCAGCTTTTGGTACATGTATCACTGCGTCAGTTCACCAGTGGCCAATAGGTTAAAAAATAAATAAATAAAATAAATAAAAAAATATATAACTGAACATTGATAGTTCCACTAGAGTTCAAATTCTGGTGAATGAGTTGGTTGCATGGTATTTTTTATGGTTTTTTCCATGTGTAATACAATAGGAGCCAGTTTTTCTTAAAAAATAATCCTCAATATCTGTGACATAATCCAAACATTTTAATCCATTTTACCTTCCCTGATGCTTGATTTTATTAAATACTGTAGTAAATACAAATTTTTGTTAAATTCCTTCTATAAGTATATACTAAATAACTTGCATTGTAGAGTTATTGATTAAATTCCTGATTTATTGTTTACTTTAGTCAGTTTCTTTTTCGTGAATGTTTATAGCATTTGGTAACAAATCACCCTTTCTGGAGCCTGAATTGCACCAATGTTGTTTTTTCTTGCCAAGGCCACTACATTAAAAAAAAATCTGATGTGTACACCACATGACTTCCTTGTACGGAATATTAAATTCTACACATTTTTTCTTGCATTTCATTTAAACTTATTAGACTGAATTAAACCTACTTCGCCGACAGCGCATAAACCACAATAGAATAAATGCATTCTTTAAAATTCACTTTGTTTACCATAGCGACACTCTGGCGCTAGGTTTACTTAACAGTATTATATTTCGTTCATATTATAACTCAGAATCCACAAAATTTATATCATTTAAAGAATTATCTAATCGTTGCCACATGTTCTATTCAAATACTATAATAAAGCTAGAACGATGTATAAAAGAAATTAAGCAAACAAAACAAAAAAAAAGAAACAGTTTTTCACAGACAATTGAGTATTTCTCATTCAATTAATTCAGTTTTCACTTCGCGACAAAACAAAAATACATAAAAAATCAAAATTTCAATATTAAAAATTACGAAGTAAATCTTAAACACTTATTTCCTCGAAAAAATTCCAGAAAGGATTAAGCCTGATTTAATTGGCAATAAATAATAAATGAAGGCGTTATCTTTGTTGTTGCAAAGCTAAGTTTCTCTAGATTGGCAACAAATCCACTAGTCTGCTGTTTCAAATGTAAACAATCAATGGCCGCCATAAAAAAAAGGCTTAGCGGCATTTAAACAACTTTAAAATTGTTGATAATTCTAAAAATATTGCATACAGATTTACTTAAGACATAAAAACCTTAACCGGAAGATAAAAACAACATAATTCAATCATTTTTAAAGCAAAAAATGTACAAATTACAAACATATAAGAGTAAAGAAACTGAGATCACTGAGCCGGGTAACAGAGTGGATATATATATAAATATATTTATATACGTTTGGTGCGGCCGATTGCAACCAAAATATGAGGTGCACATCTACATGTTATAGCAGTTTTATATACAAAATTGCAACGTTCTGAGGCTACTCATTTTTGAGTTATGCGAGATACGTACGTACGTACATACGTTCATACAGACACCACGAAAAATTCTCTTCAAAATTCATTTTAAAGCAGTTTTATAATTTTTTTGGAGGAAAAGAGTGTTTTATTCTGTCCTTACATACAGATATCACGGAAATACATCGTTAAATTGCATTTGAAAGAGGTCGGAATGGGATATTTTCGTTGAAATATGCTGCCCGAAACTTTTCGCGATTACAATACTTCCTTTTTACTTCGTACAAGGAAGTAAAAAGTACTCCAAAATTTAATGCTGTCATATAGTTCTTCGATGTCAAATGTTGGCTGTTATAAAGTCTTTTTTTATAGTAACTAACTTTTGAGTGGCTCTTAATATATCTGTTTAGATAGATATAAATCTATCAATAAACTAATGAAACATATAAAATTTTACAGTTAAAACAAATTCGACTCCAAGGAATGGCTTTGTACTTATTTTGCAAGAGAGAGCATGTAACACATGTAAGAGGTCTGCAAACAAGTTATACCAGGACAGGATTGAGAGGAATGTGGGTGAGTTAGTTTTGTATATGCGCCAGAATAATGCTTTTGGTAATGATATGTTATGCAGTCTACCACTTTTAGTCAGTTATTTATTTTTTAGATGGCACCACTAAAAGAATTTTTTAAACATAAAAATTAATGCAAATAATTGAGACAAAAATGACTTAATTTAATTAAGTTTTAGATTTCATTAAATTTAAATTCCTTTTACAAAACAAAAGCAGGAATGGGCCATAAAAGGGCTATTTTTTGAGTTGGCTGTTAAGCTTGCCAACGTCCTTTTTTGGAAAGAACTAGCTTCCCATGTCTTTTCGTGAGTTAAGAAAAAGAAAATGGCAAATGTTCTTTGTTTTGAAATTAAAGATCTCTGAATGATAACATTTAGCTGCCGAATGATGACATTTCATGTTATAATTTGAACAGTTGGCACAAAAGAGATGTCCAGCTGAGGATGAGAGTTAGCTGCGATCTCGGCTCAGAGATGTAGTTCTTTCAGCATAGTAACCCAATAAAAGTATGTGATGAGGAATTTTTTTTGGCTTTCAAGTTCGTCTACATTAAAAAAAAAAAAAAAAAAAGATGATGCAGAATTTTAAAAATTTACCAATAACTTTCTGTTATTTCTTTCTTCAGCACTTACTTATTTAGAACACTTTGATGAAAATTCTGCATTTGTCAAATTTTCAATTCTAAATATGTTAAATAATTAATTTCCAACATATGAAAAAATTGTGGAAGATATTGAAGATTTAGAACTAGAAGAAGAGCTAGATTTGAATTTGGATGAACTTTTCGATGAAGCAACACTAATTTAAATAAACTTTATTAAAAATTCTCAGCATTTTACAACACCCAAAACATTAAGTAGAAAATGGTACATGACTTATAAAAATGCCAATTAAAGAACAATTATGATCTAAAGGGTATGAAAATTTACAAAAAGAAAAAGCTTAATATTTATTTGTTTACTTTATTAAACATTTCTTTCAATGTAAGTTGTTTAAGTTGCTTCGTTTCATGTGATAATACTTTCTTTTTAATTCTATTAAACAGACATAATTTCTTCTTTAGTTAAAAAGTTCTGTTGTTCAAGTCCTATAATTGCTGTGTCAAGAATACCAACTAATTTGTCAATCGAAATTTTTTCGCTTTCAATAACCTCTGTGTCACTTTCTTCACTATCGGAAGCGAATTATAATGACGAGGAACTTGATTTAAATCATATCAAAGACGGAGTACATCGAGATGAAATACCACATTTAGTAAGGAATTGTAAGCCAATAAAATAAAAACATCTGCCCTGAAGATAAGGATAGTGCTGACAGATAAATTTCCAATTCATTCCTCGCCGCAGAGCAGTGTGAAATTGATAAACAGATTTTGGATTTCGAAACATACTTTCGCTTTGTAGATCCTTTACATATTAGTAAATATATATCAGAAATTCTGTTTGACATAATCGAAAGTTCAAGCATACTTTTATAAAATTGCTCTAACAGTCTGCAAAAAATAATAATGGGGATCCAATTCAAAGATTAAGGAACAACGCAATCTGCAACATTAACTGAATTAGATAATTTTAGCTTAGCTTATACCGTCCATTATACATTAAACACGCATGTGTAAACATAACATGCGCATGCACATAAGCATATTCGCAGCCGTAAAGGTCTTACGCACACGCGTAAACGCCTATGCGCATGCGTCAATGGGACGCATGCGCAGAAAGTTTGTAGCTTTGAGGACCGGATTATGGGTATCCGAATTAACGACTTTTGACTGTATCATGTCAACTAAATGGAGAAGTGAAAGCAAAATAGATGTTCGGTTGAACTTCTATAAAAGTAATTATTTATATATGTAGGTCGTACAGAAACTTAATGTTTTGGGTGTGAATGACATAAATGCTGCCACAGAGTGGAATGCAATTTGTTAACAAAAAACTGATAGTACATCAATTAGAAATAATCATTAAATTTTATCTCAATTGTCTGTCTTTTTATACTTTATTGATATTTGTCTTATTAGATTTCATTTTATCTCAGTTATATTAATCTATTGTAGATATTTGTAGATTTTTATATGAAGATTTGAGCAATGTTTAATCAGTTACTACTTGCATTTCATTTTCTTTCATTTCACTAGATGGTATATGACTAAGTATATCGACACAATGCACATTAATTATTAATTTCATTTTCACAGAAATTTAAAGTACTTTGATAAATAAAAACTTTCATTTCTTGGGTTTCCTCGACATCAAAGTATAAGAAAATTTTAAAAAGAAACTTGCCAAAGAACATAAAATTTAGAATAAAATTTTGTATCAGAATTGTATTATAAATGGTTCAAGAACTTAAATCATTTGTTACAAAGTTAATTTAAGTCATTCTGATGTTCTTTGAAATGATATTGCCATGTGGCTTTAAAATCCTCATGGTTTCTTAAGTTTTCTTGCAGAAAACTTCTGGTTTTTAAGATTTCAAATGCTCATTTCATTTTTTAATTTTCTCACACTTTTTTATATCAAGCAAATCTTGAGTAGTAAAGGAAAGTTTTTATTTATCAAAGTACTTTTAAATACGATAAAAATAAAATGCTTAATTAATTTACAAACTACTGTGTGGCTCAGTAATAGCTTTATGTATTGATGTAAATGACAAATATTAACTAATTAAACACTAGTTAAATGTTCACAAAAAGTTCTGCATATATCTACAGTAGGTTGAGACAGTTCAATAAAATTGATTTAGAAAAAATACTTTCAAAATAGTAGTTGGGAGGATGAAATTTGTATAATTTTAAGTATAATTGGTTTAGTAAAGTTCCTTTATTGCTGATGATTATTTTCTTATTAGTTTTCCTGATCAAAGGGGGTTAAACCAGAATAATCATTATCTACATGGTACTGTAAGATGTGATGAGGAACTAATGGCTATAATCCTAACAAGAATTTAATGCTAAAATTTGCAAAAAATTAAAAAATATATCATTTGCGGAGTATTTCTAATACATAGTTACCACAGTGAAATATACTGCTCAAAATAATTAGGGGACATTGTGAGTTCAGTATGAAATAATCATATAATCAACAACTTTTTAAACAAAATTGAAATATTTAGGTCATATAGAAATGAATGACACAAATACTACCACAGAGCGGAATACAATTTATTAACAAAAATTTAATACTTCATCAGTTAGAAATAATCCCCACCCATGTCATTACACTTCTGCTATTTGGCTGGAGGCCCCGAAGGGCTTTGGTAAACCAGTCTGTGGGGTGTTTTTAGCACTGCCTATGGACAATTGCATGCAATTCGGCAGAAGATTCAAACATGTTTGCCCCTGACTGCATCCTTCATATTGTCAAGCAAGGCACAGTCCAAGGTCTTAGTCCGAGGTCCACCCACTTTGCACACACATTTGTCATCTCCAAATCACCATGCATAATCGCCTACAATGTTCCTTGCTCAAGCCCTGTCTCTTGCTGCATCTTGTTGAACGTTATGTGCTTCTTCGCCATGATCAAATCCGACACCGCTGCTGCATTTGCTGCTATATGCAATGTTGCTGGTTGTCCAGCGCTGACACCTTTGGCTGCAGTTTCTACTCCACTAAGAGCCAACAAAGAAACTTGGCCAACCAACGGGATATGGTACGCCTTGAGGGTGCTTTGTTCCCCCACACTGATACCATGCTAATGATGAATCTCGCTACCCTGTACCCCTTCCTTCCACAGGAACTACGCTGTGCAACGCTGACCGTGATAATCACCTTCCATCATTGCTGTCCATGATCTCAATGGCAATGGCGAAAGAGACGGGTGCTGACGTATACTGTTGGCTTGGAGCCAGCTCTGTCTATGCATTCTGAGTAGCTCACGTCCCCTTGTGTCTATTTCACTTGTTTTCCCTTCACATAGTATGATAGTTTCGTTGTGAATGCTGTTGTGTTAATTTTTCTGTGTGAATCATATATTTTAGTTTGTAAGAATTTTGGAGGGAAAAAAAAATTAAAAATTGTGTATTTTCTCAAGTCTGCCAAAAAATTGAAACAAATATAGTTTTGAAAATCAAAATTTTGATTCAAATATTTTTAAAGTTTTTTACATTTTTTTACCTAGCATTTTTTGAATTTAATTTTAATGTTTATTCTAATAATGCATCTTATATGTTTAATGAGTTAATATATTATTGTCTAAATTACTAAAATAAAACTTTTCCAATTATTTTCAGTGTTTTTAAGAAATTGTTTGTTCACCTGGACATTCATTTTAAAATTGCATTAATTTTTAAAGTAGTAATAATTTACAATAATAATATAAAGAAATTAGTGTATGTATATTTTATAGTATCTTTTATTCTGTCTCATCAGAGCTGGCAACTTTATTAGCTATATACAGAGTTGCCAACTCTCCCGATTTTCGACCGCTCTCCCGCCAACCCGATTTACAATATATTTCTCCCGACTTTTTCTTATTCTTAAAATTTCTCACGATTTTTATGGAACTTGGCTTAATACTTTGTTATATAAACAAAAACAAACAAAAAAAAAAAAAAAAAAGTGATTTTGGCAGTCTGAAAGCAATTGAATTTTCTCTAGGTTATATCTAAAACAAAACCTTGCGAATTAGATAACTTCTGCTTTGTAAGTGAGAGCAGAGCATATACGTATCCAGAAACGTCGTTCTCCAGTTCTCCAATGGGGGCATCGTGCTCCACTACGTGTCATCTGGCATATATTAATTAGCCAATGAGGACAAAGCAAGCTGTTATTTGGATGTCGTTTAGTTATATCGGTCATTTTGTCCTGAGTTGTTTGAGTATACGTGCCTTAGGGAAATAGTTTTAGAAATTATCATCTTTTGTTATGTCTGCCAGAAAGGTGAAATACTCGTGTACGTTTCAAAAATCGTACACAGTTGACTTTCCTTCCATTATTTCCTCAAGGAAATGTAATAAATTTATGATGTGTACTGCCTGTCGTTGCGATTTTTCGATTTCGCATGATGGAAGGGCGGATGTTCTTAAATATGTGCTTACACAAAAACACAAGGACAACATGAGTTGTGTTGAAAAAAAACGAAAAATAAAATTTTTCTTCGGAAACAGAGGACCAAAAAGTTGCTAATGCAGAATGTCTGCTGATGGAATTTTAAAATATAGTGAGCTGTCTAGAATTATGTTGGCCATCTTGACAGTTCCCCATAATAATGCAGAGTGTGAGAAAATTTTCAGTATTGTTGCGAAAACAAGGACTAAATTTAGATCTAATATTAGTGATGACACATTAGAAAAGTTTTTATTAGCGAAAGCAGGCCTATGTGGCAATTACTACGAACAAAATTATGAAGTTTCTTTCTTAAAGAAAGCAAAATCTGCCACTGTTTATAACATTTGTACGAAACTGATTGAAGTGGTTTTCTTTTTTCTTAATCGATGCAAGTAATAAAAAATGTTTTTTATGTGTAAGGTATTTTGGTGTTGCTTGCATTTAAGAATTAATTACTATTTAAAGTTAATTCATTATTAAAAACTATGTTTTCATCATTTAAAAAGTCTTTTTAACATTGTGAAAAATCTCCTGATTTTTGAGTGTCATAGGTTGGCAAGTATGTATATACATTACAAAATACTGATCACTTTTTCTTCTCTGAAACAACTGGAAGCATTTGCGGAGCAGTATTCCAAATTTCAGTAGCTTCATAAAATAAAATTCAATAGCTTTGATATCCAAATGGGCATTAAAATGACAAGGAAAAATAATTAAAACAACCAATTTTAGTGGTGCCATATGAAAAATAACTAAATAAAAGCAGTAGATCATCTACTATATTTCTTGTATGTAATATTTATTGTACATGAAAGCTATTTAAATGCAATTTAAATTTATTATAATATGTTTTGTTTTTAGGGTAATAAAGGGGGAGTCAGTATTAGATTTTCTGTATATGGCTGCTCAGTTTGTATTGTTAATTGTCACCTAGCTGCTCATGATTCAGAAATTAAACAAAGAATAGAAGTAAGCTTTGACATTTCATCTTATATCTCTTTTTGTGTTCTTGATAGCTGCATAATTTTGAGTTTGCTTTATATGTAATTAAGCTTATTTATGTATAATATAAGTAAAAACAAATAAAACCACTCAGATTGCATCCCAAATAACAATGTGTAAAGAGGAGTATATTATAACTGACATTCATTAGCCTAGTCGGAAGAAGATTGAAAATTATAAGGGACCAAAAAATAAGCAAAAAAGAAGAAGAAAAATGTGTAATGTGTAAAATAAGTGTGGCATTAATAGAGCATGAGGGGAGGGGATTATTAGAACTCTAAGTCTTTATTTATTTTTGATGATACTGTAGAAAAAAATTCTTATCATTGAGGCTGAGTCCAACTCTGCACTGCTTCTTGTTGGCGAATCTTAGATGGAACAAAATGTTTGTATTTTCTGGTATGGGCTGATATCTTTCCTGTTTACACTTTCACAGTGCTGTTTATTCCCTCATAACAGAAATTAAAATAATCTTTCAGTTGGAAGGATCAACCTTTATCTCTCATAGAGAACAAAATGTACTAATCTGTAACTGTCACATAAGCAAAATGCCAAAATATATGAAGCCACCAATGTTGAGAAAAATAACTTACCAGTTATTTTTCTCAACATTGGTGGAGAAAACAGTATTTAAATTTGAAAAACAGTATTTAAATCTGTATTTAAATCTGCAAACAGTATTTAAATTTGATTTTACAAAGTGAACAAAGAGCAAGATTATAGTTCACTACAAGTGGTATTCACCAAGGAAATGCTGATGTTGATGAAATGCTGCATTTTGCATTGAAACTTACAAAAGATGGCATCCTGTGCTACATATTTATGCATGTGATTGTTAAGAAAACCATTGGCTTATATTCTATAGAATTTCGAATAGGTGGTTTCAATCTTAGACTACCAGGAGGAAAAGGGTTAAAAAGCTTGACCCATAGCAAATTTGATTTGAAAATTTGCTGCCGTTGTGCATGGAATTAGTGAGCAGAAGATGAAATTGCAAATATATGATCAACAGACCGAAAGTGGTCCTTGAAACTTGTCTTTTGTAATTCTCCAGATATTACAGGGTTCGTAGCGGTCCTTACAAGTGCTTATAAGTCCTTATATTTGAAAATAAAATATAAAGGCCCTTATAGGTGCTTACTTTTTCTTTAAAGCCCTTATTTTTTTTTTTTTTTTTGTTTTTAGTTCTTATTTTTTGCTTTTAGTGCTTTTTTTAATCCTTTTTTTTAATGAACGCACATTTTTTCCCCGTACCAAAGCCGAAACTAAATAAACAACTTTTCTTCCTTATATGTAACGTCAGATGGTGAATCATACTCCCGGAAATTGCTTTTCCCCCTTTCTCTGCATTAATGTAACCTATGGTGCACACAGTACAGACAGGTACACGTCGTTCTATTGGTCAAAGAATTGCGAAAACGGTAGAAAATTCCGGTACATTCGGTATTCTTTTCCTCCTACCCAAATACTACACACGTTTGAATTTCTATCAAGATTTTATTTTATGTAATAATATGCATTCTCGTTCCGGCCCACCAGCGGCCGAGCGGTAAAGTCGCTGAACACTGGTATTTCGGTCCGAGGTTCGAATCCCGCGAACGGGCTGGCTGCATGGATGTTTTCGTGGTTTTCCCCATGTGTAACGTGTATACGAGCCAGTTTCCCTTAGAAAGTCCTCCACGAAGGCATCCCTCCCTTTAGGCAGATAGCCCTAGTGTGCTTTGCCATAATTAAATACACCACACCATTCTCGTTCCGTGTGGTCAGTTCATATTCGTGTTTATTATGATCATTATGCTTATATTATGAGCATATGCATGAATATTTATAATAATATAGTTGCAGTAACTGGTGAAGTATAGATAAACTTCCAAAAAAATGGGTATGTTTTTACACAGATTAGCTTTCTAAGGAATAATATTCGGAATGGCTTAAATAAAAGGAAAGTAATCGAATAGGGAAAATAATTTTTTCCCCCAATACATTATACAGTACGGAGGTTTGGAGGTTCTCCCCTTTCTCCACAAAATCTCTAATATTAAAGCAGCAGACTTTTTTTTTTGTCACTGTCCAATCTGAATTGAATAAGACTAAAAGTTTTTGCGGTCTACCCAACCTAAGCGAAGATTGATTCTATTCCGGAAATTTAACACAGTCTGTTGAAAATTAGAATCAGAAACACCCCAGATTAGTAAGTCTCTTTCTTTTCCTTTATTTAGTTCTTTATTCTCTGACTGCCGGCAGCTGTTGATTCTGATTGCGTAATATCATGGAAGAATTACCCTGCACTTATTGCGCAATAACTTTTGCGGTATTTTGCAGAGATAATTTTGATGTTCAGTCTGATATTTGTTTATGAACACTTAAAAGAGTTTTACTGTGCTTTCTAAGCAGAATATTTCTCACTTCCGTTGGTCTATTTTTATATGATGCACATATCAAAATCATTTATTTAGACGAGAAATCTAAAGAACGGCTACAATCTCCCCCACTCCTCTTTTTCTAGTTACTATATGGAATATTCAGCAGTTTCCGAGTATGCGAGTTAGTTAAGCTTTTACTGTTAAAGGATGATTTTTTTGCAATTCCCTTTTTAAGGAATTTCCCATCTTCTGATTTCAGAAACGTGCCTCTTTTTTACTTAAATTACTTTGCTTGGAATATATGTTAAGGGAAAACTGTTATGCAATGAAAATTTAGAAAATGTTCAGAATTTTGAGTTAAGTTAAATTATTTAAATATTAATATGAGTGGAAAAAATAAATTGCATTTATTATTAGGTGCCAAATGAATACAATTAATATGGCTTATTATTATTTATTTTCTATATTTTGAACTGAAATTTCATCATTAAATCTTGTAATATAGTTTAGTTCTGCATAGTTTTTTTTCTCTCATTGTAAACTAATTCTGTAAATTGAACTGTCATTTAAAATTAAAAAAAAAAAAAAAAAAAAAAAAAAAAAAAAAAAGTTGCTTTCCATAGTTGAGGTAAGGCTCACTCTCTTAATAAATATCAATTTAAGGTTATGCAGTTGTGTATAATGTAATTAGACAGGGGCTTATTTTTTCCTTAAAATGTGCTTGAAAAGTGCTTATAGGGTGCTTATTTTTTTAACTAAAATGTGGCTACGAACCCTGTATTAAAAAAAGTTAAATTTCAAATTAACTTCATATATCAGTGAATAGTTGAAAATCTTACAGTTTGGAAACTGTACATGGCAATCATCTATTACTTTTTCACCCACAATGAGTATATTATGAAATTAATAGGTATTAGGCTTCCCACTCTAGTTTTAACAACAAAAGATGGATTGAAAACTCTATGATTGTATTGCTTCTAAGAAGACAGGTCCCAAAATTTAATAACTTTTTTTTCAAAATTCATGGAAAAATACAATTACAGTTAATTTATAACCTTCTCATAAAAATAAAAGATGGCTATCATGAATCAATAGGGGTTACATTAAATGAAAGTGCAGATGTTATGAGTGTATTATTACATCATGCTTATCCATAACTAGCATTAAATGTTTCTTTGTGACAGTTGTTATGAGTGTATTGTTAGGGTAATGTGTAAGTGCCAAATATAATGCTTAATTTGAGCAGTGCCAAATTTGTGCAATTGTCTGATGCTTTTTTAATCAAAAACATATCACTATGGATCACATGGGGAGAAATTATTTAACTTATGTAGGACATTTTAATGAACATTAAAAAAGACTACATCTTCATCACGAAATAATGTAGCAGTAATGTATCGTATTATATGTACTAGATATAATGGTTATTTATCAGATAATCCTTATTTAACAGTTCAAATTTGTATTTTTGACTGTTTTCTTTTCATATGTTAATAAGGTTTGCTGATAAATATTTATGTGGCAACAATATGTAAAATGACAAAAAATATTACTTCATTCTCCCTACATACACAGTGCAATTTTTGTTTTCACACACACAAAATTGTCCAAACTTGGCATCACGCACAGCCATGCAACTGCACATATTAAATTCTATAAATGAATATGGTTTTAGTTTTTTAAGGTTGCCATAATGTTTTCTGGTTTTCATCAGATTGATTTTAAATGTCACCAAATTTAATCCTTGTTAAAGCAGCAACAACGGATGCATTAACAAGGATGTACCATTCAGTTTTATTCCAGAGAATTTATTTGTTGAAATAAATTAGACATTTTTTTTACATCAAAGGGACCAGTTACAGGTGCACTATAGTAACAAATGGAAACATGAATGGCTTGTGTGCTAAGCACATAATCAAATGACTGTTAAATTTCCTAGTTTATGTTTTGTATTGTGATTGTGCTGCAGACTATGCATGTTGGGGAAGATAATTTGAAAATACAGCTTCGGTTTTGAATTCTAAATTTTAATATTTCTTTTTTATATTCTAAATTTTAAACGTAATTCAAAATTTAAATGCTACATTCCAAATTTTAAACTTTTTAAAAATATTTTTTTTAACATTTTATTTTAATAGTTTTGTATTCTAAATATTAACATTCTATTTTCTGGAATTCTGTTTCAGCTTCTAAATTTCAACATTCCGTTTGCTTTTTAGAAGTGGTTAAAGTTCTACTAGAATAAAATCTGTATTAAGTGCAAAATAGTTCTTGAATGGTGATACACTTTTATGTTTTATTGAACTGTAAATAATCTTTCTTTCATAGGATTATAATTCTATACTTGATCACCAAAAATTTGTAGATCCTCTTACAGAGAACATTATTACTCATGAGTAAGTGTGCTGTATTTTTCTGTAAATAAGTTAATATAACAATATTAAATGCTTTTAAAGTTCTCTATAGCTTGGTACATATCTGATGATATAAATTTTTGTATATGTTTTGTATTATCATAAATATGTATGAATGTATTTTTCATATATGTTTATTATAATTCTTTTATTCAGTGGTTTGTAGTTTGCTTGTAACTGTCATCAGTTAGAAATAAATGAGGACTTAGTGCATCTCCTAACGTTGTTAAAAATCTACTAAGCATTTACTAAGATTTTTAAAATCAGTAGTTTAGTTATTGGTAACATTTGTGTTATTAACTAATGGGCAATAATTGGGTTGATTAATAACTGTAGTAAATAAGCAACTGAAAACCACTAAGAGCATCAATAAAGAGCCCCCTTTTTACAGTGATCTGCAATAGTTTTAATAATAAAAGATTATTATTTTAAGAACTTATAGAATTAACTAATTGTAGGAGCCTTCTTCAAATAGAGTGCCAATAACTGACAAGAATTACAGCAGTTTTCTGTAATTTAGGAGCCAGTAATTAGCAGTTATATACTGATTGTATGCACATTAAAACATATAACAGGTACTGCCTAATATTATCATGGCTAATGTGATCATTTGGATATTGCTATCAAATAGCCAAAGTTCACATTTGTATACGGAAACGTGGGAAGTACTTCGCTTATTGTGATTAACAAGACAGTTAATATCAAAATGTTGAATAAATTTTTTAAAGCTGAAATAAAACTGTGAAATAAGATCAAAATAGATTCTAAAAATTGGCAAGTGACCCCCCCCCCCCCCAAAAAAAATGTCACCAAATGGCTTGGTTTCGATTTTTAATCAATCATTTAAAATTAAGCACAAAAAAAAGCAATCTTAGTTTGACATAGATTTTGAAAAACTCTATCAATTCGGGGGGGGGGGGTCTCTGTTTTTTTCAAGAGGAAAAAAAAAATCTACAAAGTTTTTCCTTCTTTTCCTTGCTATCCATGAAAGCATCTATTAAGGTTCCCCCCTTTTTTTTTCTCTCTCTCTCTCTCTGCCTAATTTTTAGCTTTTCATTGCCGCTCTCTTTCAATGAGGGATGCCCTGCAAGTATTAAGATATTGGTCAAGTATTTTTCAGAAATGTAAGAAATTTTTGCTATAAAGACATTGTGAATGTCCATAAACAAATTTTTACTTTTTTGGGATTTGAAATGATGTGAAAAGTATCTTTTTATATGTTTCTTGTTATGATAAATTAGCTTAAATCCGTTGCTACTTGGAGGGATATTTTTTTATCATTGTATAATGCTATTATTCAGTTAATGCTATCAAAATAACAGTGCACAAGCATGATCACGTTAAGTGACACTTATTATATGTATTAATTGATTTTATTGTCTAATTAATTGAGACATCAAGCATATTACTCTGCAGGCTAAGAAATTATCTGAAATTTTTAAGAAATTTTTTTTGTTTATTCTGAGTAAATTTATCGTATTTTGTCATATAAGAATAATGGGTAGCAAACAGCAGGAATTTGGTTAGTAAACTGAAACTTTTAAGATGAAGTTGTTGCTTGTTGTTTAAAATACTTGCTAATTAGCAAAATTTCATAAATGTATGTAGTTTTAAAGGTAATGGAATTTAAGAACTTGTGAGAAAACTTAATAGAAAATTTCGCACATGGGAGAAATTAATATGCATCTTGTAAGTCATATTTCAGAGTTTTAGAAATTGGACTTTTGGGCAGAGAGAAATGCTTATACAGTAATTTCTTGTTATTCTATTGTATTTGGCAAAATATTGTGCTCTGTGTTTATCAAGAAAAAATATTTACTGTAATTTTGTTTTAAAGCTACACATTTTGGATCGGAGACCTGAATTTCCGAATAGATGATTATACGTCTGAAGAAATTGAACATCTTATACAGAAAAAAAGTTTGAGCCACTTACTTTTAAAAGACCAGGTAAATACTTTTTTTAACCCTAAGGGGCAATTTGCCCAGAAGGGCTATTAATTTCATTTTGGCATTTTGCATTGATTGACTATAAACAGTGAATCACTTATTAAATTATTGCCACCAACTATTAGAGCCTTGTATTATATTTAAGGAAATTAAATAATGAAGGATTGGAATAAATGTATGTATGTTTCTTGCATTAAAGTTTGAGCCACTTACTTTTAAAAGACCAGGTAAATACTTTTTTTAACCCTAAGGGGCAATTTGCCCAGAAGGGCTATTAATTTCATTTTGCATTGATTGACTATAAACAGTGAATCACTTATTAAATTATTGCCACCAACTATTAGAGCCTTGTGTTATATTTAAGGAAATTAAATAATGAAGGATTGGAATAAATGTATGTATGTTTCTTGCGTTGTGATAAAACAATGGTACCTAGAGCCATCAAATTTTGAATAAGGTATGTCTCGACCCGAATATGGGCATCTGGAAGCCCAAATTTGGAATTTGTTTTATTATGTATTTCGTATTTTGTAAAGCATTTATGAGTTTTTGATTAAGAAACTCAACAATTTCAAAGCGAACAATGGCAACTCTGTACGGGGGGGGGGGAGAGACATTTTTATCTTCAGCGCACGAGACAGTGTATCAGAAATTCTAAAGATATCCTCTTTTAAATATTTTGTGATATTGCTGTTGAATTATATTTTATGGTTTAAGTGTGAAGAACATTCTATTTAATAAATAAAGGTAACAAGCAAAACGTTAAAAAGGTGCCCTTTTGGGCGTAATGTAAAATCTGAATGCTTTAAGTTTTTTAATTAATACTTTTAATATTTTAATTAATACTTTTATACTGAAAAAGTTTTTATTATTATTAAAGAGCTAACTTAGTATTGCTTATTATATATTGTATGAGGATATGAAGTTCACGTGAAAAAGGTGTTATTTTAAGAAAAATTCTACCTGCATTATTTGATGTGTTCAGTTTTGGTGCTGTTCCTGTTATTGTATGCTTAACTACTTTTCTTTTTATTTACATTGCTTTCTTTAATATCACATTTATAGGATAAAACATGCATGTTAAATCAAAAAGTATTCCACTAGCTTTTAAAATGAGCATTCTGCTAAAAATGAAGAATTTTTGCATTGCATTTTAGCCTTTTCTGATCCATTCAATGTTTTCCTCAAAGTCCTTGTAGGCATTTCTAGTAGAATAAGGAAATAAATAAAAATAAATAAATAAATAAATAAAAATAGTATTTCGTCTTTAATGGATAATTTAATTCAAATAGCAGAATTAGCTTGTTTCAAAAATGCTTTTAAATGTATGAATCAAATTGATCAAATGAATAGGTTTATAAATGAAAACATACAATAAGTATGTTGTACTACATATTTATCATATGTTGTTATTTTTCTGATTTGTTGCTTATTCTGATACCTAGATAGTCTAACAAATGGAAAGACTTGCGAATCATTGTGATTAGATATGGGAAATTCTGCCATTCATGAAAGGCGTAGTAATAATTGATTCAAAAATTTGCTTAGAATTTTACAAATTTCTGATTGAAATAATTGCTTAAATAAAGTATCCCTATCTAACTGGATAATTTTTGCATAATATAGAATATACAGCATATTTAACAAAAATTGTGGCACTAAATATCCAATGAATGCAAGATAGTAGGCCTATTGTTTAGCTTTAAGAAATGACTCAAACATGAGAGTCTTTGAATTTATAATTTTTATCATGCAATATCTTTTAGTAAAATTAATGTAATTTAACCTCTTGCATGTTTTGCCGATGTGCTTTACAGGTGCCGCTTTCAGGCCTTTCTTAAGTATGGGCAATCTCATTTCTCTCTGTTACTTTTACTGTTTTGCCTATTCTTATCTAGTTTTAGCATCAAGTTAGTCGGCAGTAGATATCCATTAAGTGGTAGCTTGTAAAGTCTGTTTTGTTCTATTTTGATTGGTTCAGAAACAGTCACTTGTTTCATGTCTTCTGCATGACTCGAAGAATTTTTATCATGATGAATTTTTATCTTTCAGTACTTAGTTTTTCATATGCATTTGACTATTGCTTTGATATCTTTATTGATATGCAAGTAGTTAAACCCCCCCCATAAAATAATGTCAGATTCAGAATATATGTAGCTAATTTATTGTGGTGCAGACTGTTATTCAGAATCAGAATCTGAAATGAGTAAATGAATCTGGAAGTAGTGAAAGTTCTCTACAGGACTTTGATACTAATGTAAAAAACATGGTGGTAAATATATTAAATTACTGTGTCAATAGGATATTGACTGATTGAAAGGCATGCAGCAGAAGAAGGTAAAGGAAAGATCTTCTTGGATGTTTAAATCCACGAAGACTAGCAAAAAGAAATTTTTTTAGGGGTGATTTTGTCTATACGGGGGGACTAGGATGTGCATTTGCTGAAGGGGGGAACAGCAAAAGAATTAGAAAATTTTTACTTTTGTCTAAACTGTGATATTGGATTGTGCCTCTTGCTTTAAGATTTATTACACTATATCAGGTCTTTGAAAAACAAAGGGTGAGAAAATGTAATTGTAGTAATTGCAGTTGAACATAAGTGTAAAGTAATTGTGATTTTTCTGTATACAATTGTAAATGTGATTTCTCTCTTTGGCACTCATAATGGAGGTAAAAAACAGCTTCCAGGGAAAGCCATATTTAATTAATTCCTGTAAATAAAATGGCATCCTGTGAACATCCTTCATAATAAGCAGGAGGGCTAGTCAGTATTCATGGAAAAACCTCAGAAGAGAGAGTTAAGAACACTCACTTGCATTCCCACAAGAGCCTCAGCCGCACAACTCAGACTTTAAAGAATAAACACTCTTTTTAATAACAGAAGAATAAACCCCCAGAGCTGAACCTGGCCACTGGGCACTTGCCCATCACTTTGGATCTCAGAAACCACCAAGGGAGAGGACAACTATAGACACCATTTTAACGGCTAATAGCGCTAGCCCACTGAGATGGCCTAATCCCCGACCGTTCAGGGCAGCATGGACTGCATTTTCTGGCTGTAGAAACTGTGTTCCTGTTATTGTGCCCCCAGAGCAACTACTGTCATAGTAAAATACTAAGCCAGTTTACACAACCCCATGGTGTAACTTCCATGGAAAGCATTATTATTTGCAGGAAGAAAATTTTCTAGATGCTAAAGATATTACAAATGTTAATTTTAATAACTTTTTCCTACAAGCAAAAGGAACAAAAACACATATGCTTTGTACTGAATTCAGGAAAAATTAAACTGTTAAACAGTTAAAACTGCTCTCTATTAGAAAGCTGCAAATAATAAGCCTTATTATTATAAATAATTTTTTCAAAGGTGGGGTAGAATTGGCACTGCAAAATATTTCAGAATTATGCGATCTTAAAAATTTCGTTTGATATGAAAAATGTTAGTTTTAGGGGTCATATAAAAATTAAATACCATTCATTAAGAAATTACATTTTCTTGCATTTCTACAAATTTGAATTGAAAATCTCTGTGCATGTATGAAGTGTTTTTCACATAAATGTATTTTTTAGAAATTTATGTTTTTAAGCTTAAGATATGTAACTGAATTTTATCATATTTGTATACAGTCATCTCAAATTATAATTTAAGATATCTTGTATAATTGTAATCATATTAGGATAGAATTTTTGTTTTAATTTGATAAAATTGATTAGGAAAAATGTGCTTCTTGATGGAATTCTTTTTTTACCTCTAAGTGGCTCATATATAAATTTAAATTTATGTGCATAGTTCTCATGTAATCAATAACTGTCATAGAGATGTTATGTAATTTTTTTTTTAAATCTTGTATATCTTTTGTGTCTTTTACAAAGAAGATTTGTTTAATCATATGAAATTTCACCAGTCTTTTAACGAAAGCCAGAAAGTCAGTATCACATAGTCTTGTTAAAGTAAAGAAGAAAAAAAAATAGTTCTTTAATAGAAAAGTTCCCGTATAAAAGCGAATTTTCATTATTTGTTATCTAGTTTATTGATAAAATTCAGTTATTGCTTTAATTTGATGCTAAATGGGAATATTATATCATCTTCCTCTAATTTCTGAATGTATTTGTTTTCACTTGTAGCTTCGCAAAGTGATGAAGCTCGGTCAAGCCTTTTCTGAGTTTACTGAGAGCCCGCCTGGTTTTCCTCCTACTTATAAATTTACTATAGACGGAAGTGATTATGACACAAGGTACATAAATTTTGAACTAGTCCTTTTGATGTATATGTTGTTTAATGTTAAATTACCTATAATTAATTTCTTTCCCCCCTCTTATTTTAAAGTTTTAAAAACTTAGAACTTAATTTTAGCATATTTTTAAAATTTTGTTTGGATACAAAAGTTTGTAGAATATTGGTTTTTCACTGTAAGCTTTTAAAATATATTATAATGGGGGAAGGCTATATTACTGGCCATGAGTGTATAATATGCACATACAATGAATGAATGATGCATTTACCACTGTCAGGGAAATATAATTATCTGCTTAGTTAAAGTATAAGCTTAATTTGAAGTAGAGTTATTCTAAGAATATACCTCCTCTCCCCAAAAAGTGTGAATATTATTTTGTATTTTGGACACTGAAATGAACCAAGGATTTTATAGGCTGCAAACAGATTTCATAAGGTTTTCCTGAAGCCACTAGTCAGTGATACTGTTATGTCTGCAGCCATTTAAAATTCTATTAAAATGTCAAACGTGTTCACTCAGTTTAGTATCTGCAATATTTCTGCAGTTGTGATAGCAAATAGGAATCTACTATGTAAATCAGTGATTTCAAACCCAAATTACATGTGAGCTGAATGCTTGATCTAAAACGGCTGATGGACAAGAATTTGTTTTAAAGCTAAATGAAAACGTTTTGTCAGGTAAAAAATATTTTAAATTTTGGTTACTAAATATTTATCAAAACATACATAAACAATAATAATATTGCAAAGGGAAAAAAAAAAAAAAAATTCAAATTTATTTTCTGTCTGAAATTTAGCTTGCATTCTAATCTTTGGTACCTGCTAGACATGTTTGTTGGTTACACTTTGTAATTCAAATTTTTACAGTTGAATATTAAATTCTTTAAACTGATATTTATTTGAAATAATTCTGATATGTTTAATTATCGAATAACGTGCTTTAATTAAAACGCTAAATAAAGAAATTATGAAAACTTTCCCTGTTTTCAGAGAGAATTTTTATGTTGGCATAAAACTTGAGAATAAATAATGTCAACCTAGTCTGCTTCTGTTATTTATTAATTTTGGGGGGCACATAAATCAAGATACATAAGCTTTTGTGTAAATAATTATAAACTTCTTTATTTCTTACAATCACTTGACACTTGATGGCATTTTGATTCTGATAAAATTTGTAACCTCGGAGAGAAATACTAGAAATTGTCTTCATCTCAAATTATACTGTTACTCATGTTACTGTGAACCATGAAGAATGCAGAGAAAACATTATTACTTTATTTCTGTTAAAGATTCTTCTATACAAGAAACTTCATAAGTCATATTATTTGTATAATTTAATTTCATAAGTCATATTATTTGTATAAGTGGTTCCAGCAGAAATAAGTTATTTGCTACATAACTTGATTCAATTAAAGCAAAATTGAAGACCGTTTAATTTTATGCAAAACAGACATTTTATCTTTCCATGTTTGGGATGATATGTTGAAGAAAGCCTTTTATTTGGCATAATTGGGACTATTATTTTGGCTGTCATTGGTGAACTTTGGGAAAAGATTGTGCTATTTGTAAGAGAAATGAAACAGTGTATATTTAAGAATTTCTGTGAGTATGATAAGTACTAGCTAAAATGCAACGAGACACAAGAGAATATCTTATTTTGCAGTAATTGCAGAGAGTGACTTTTTTGTGTCGCTTGTATCATCATGCCTACTTACAGTTCCTGTCTTGTCAAGTTTTATTATGAATCCAAATCATACTATTTATTAAGCATAATATGTTATTAAAATTGAAATTTCAGTTTTTAGATTTTAGCCTTTATTTTTCACAGCTCTTTACACACCCTGTTTATTCAAGAATGAGTAAAAGTACATAACTAGTTAGAGTCTGATTTTGTGGTATTGCCAAATATGGCTGAAATCCTGTTAGGTATTCACACTACTGGTAATAATATGGGCACATCCTGGCCCACCTAACAGGCAGTAACCCTTTCTCTGATTACAGACAGACTGGTTCAAGGAAAAACCATGTAGATAAAAGAAAATGAATGCTAAATTCAAACAATAATAAAATACTAATCTTAATTGACCTGCAATTTAAATTGACATCAGGTATGATTTCAAATGCAGCTTTCCTTTTTTAAATTTTCGAATTCAGTAAAATTTTCTTAAAATCACATTTTTCATTAACATCTCTTGCTGTCTGGCTCAAAAAGCACACCTTAATGAAATGTCATGCATGGACAAGAATATTTCAACAGCAGCCCAGATCAGAGTCTTCATGACCAAATTTTTTTTCCCCTAATATGCTGGTTAATGACCATAGCCTGTCAGAATTTAAGTCGACATTGAGATACATATATTTTCTTTAAGTTATATTCTCCAAGTAATTGCCCCTCTTTTCCAACCAGAACCGCTGCTCTTTCTAGTTATTGCAATAACAGTGCTGGTATCTTTTTGTGCATAATTACTCAAAAAGATATTACTATTATAATTTGTTTGTATGTAATTTGTTAATATAATTTGTTTAATATATGTGTAAATTTTATTATATTATAATTTGCATTTATATATGTTGTTGTAGTGAAAACCTCCGTTTGTCTCTAGTTTTTGGAAAAAAAGTTCTCTAGTTTTAGAAAATATATCTATATATATATATTTTCTTTTTCTACTATATTAAACATCCTGTGGGAATTTTCTCTGTTTCTGTACTAATTTCTTTCTTCTAATATTTTTTGTAATATATGTTATTAAAATTTTACTTATGTAGCAAAAGAAAACCAGCATGGACAGACAGGATATTGTTTCGATACACACCCAATGCATATGAAAATGTTACCTTGAATCTGAAGCAACTTCATTACAATAGTCATGATTTCTATTCTCAGAGTGATCACAAGCCTGTCACATCAAGTTTTACGATTAAGGTAATTATGCTGCTCAACTCTCAGAATTCTGAAAAATATATCATCAAACTAGACCAGTGGTTCCCAGCCTGAAGTTTAAGGTTGCATAATTAATTTGGTATTAAACAGGTTGTCTAAGATGATTATGTGGTTAAATACCTGTTGAATACATAAAACCGTACATTGTGTTTAAGAAAATCAAAGAAAATAAGGCAGATTTCCATGTTATGCAAATTTTCGTGTGTTATTAAATAACTGTTGAAGGATTTGTTAAAAACCCATAATTTGTATTTAAGGAATGAAAGAAAATAAGGCAGATTTTCAAGTTATGGCAGTTTTTGTGTCACTCAAAAATTGGTATGTTCTGATTATCTGCAGTCTTGTCATAAAGTTGCTCAAAAGTATTCATGAGGCAAAGCAATATGTCTCCAAAATAATTATGTGGCAACCCATGATGTTGCCTAAAAATATTTATGTGGCAATCCAAGTTTGCACATAGCACATGTCTGTTTTGACTACCATGCAGTGCAGAAGATGTATGGAGCCAAATTTGTGCAGTTGTGTTATATTGCTACAGTCTAATGCTTTTTCAAATGTAGACACTGTATACATGAGGTACATAAAAATGCATATATGTACATACAAGTTCACGCAACAGCACAAAAAAGAATCTTGGAAAAATTCTTGAGAAGTGTGTTTTGTTACTTATTATTATTATTATTATTTTATTGTTTAATCGTTCTTGTATAGAATTCTTAGTTTGCTGCCATTTTTAAAATGGCTGTTGCCTTTTACTCCTTGGCTTAGTGAAATATTAGTTGTTGGTGAGTTCATAAATGCTTTTCAAAGTTGCCAAAGTTTTGCAACTTTTTGGTGAGAGTTCATATAATTAGAAAGTACCCCAAAATTTATAAAACATAAACTTTAAGTCTGCAAAGTACGTTGTGGAAGCAGTACAATATTATATCTAGAATCAGAGAATTTTAAATGCTATCAGAGTGTCATAAGCTTTGAAGTTTTATAGTTACCGTAATTTCTGTAAGAAACGCCACAGTGTTTATTGTTTAAAACTTAAATCTTCAGCTGGTGCGGCATTTCTACCCATACAGTGTTTAGGTGCACTAAAAATAAAATATTTCCTATGATGGTCATTGTACATAGTTTGGATGCCCTTGTCATTGTACATAGACTGGTGCTGTTTCCACACAAAAGACCACTCAGTTGCTTTTTGCGAACGTTATTTTGTTTACATTCTTTCCCTTGAATAGACCTACATGCCTTATTCACCCTAAACCGGATCACAGAACAATAACATTCTTCCCCCTTTCAAATCAACATTCTCATCAGTTTGAATAGTCTCTCTCCTCTGCCATTCCATGAATCTTCTAGGACCCATTCTCTCCCTACCCCTGCCTTTTCTGCAACTTTTTTTCAAAGGCAGACAGGACTCCACCTGCCTCGCAATAAGGAATTCTGACGTATTTCCCCTTCAGCATGAATCAATTTTTCTTGGCATTCAGCCAGATACAGATCCCATCAGTTTGGGTACAAGTACTTGTTGGATAGTTTTTAAGTAAGAAGGGAGTTAAAAATTTTTGAAAATGGCACCTAAATGTCACAGAAGCTATACTGCTGGTTTTAAGCTTAATGTAATTTCACGTGCTGAACAAGTTGGAAATAGAGCAGCAGCTCAAGAGTTTGAAGTGGACGATAGATGTATTCGATGTTGGAGAACTAAAAAAGAACTTCTTAAAAATATGCCACAACAGAAACAAGCCAAAAAAAGTGGTACTGTAAGGTGGCCAAATCTAGAGGATGACCTTGCAAGCTGGATAAAAGAGCAATGAGGAAAGGGAATGTCAATTTCAACTGTAAAAATTCGTTTACAAATAAAATTTATAGCAAAACAAATGAACATGATGATTTCAAAGGAGGGCCTTGCTGGTGTAGCAGATTTATGAAAAGAAAAAAATCTTTCTATGTGTACTAGAACAACAGTCGGGCAACAATTACCAATGGACTGGCAGGATAAAAAGGCATCTTTTCTAAAATATGGGACAGATATTGTTGACCAAAAAAAAAAAAAAAAAAAACTTCTTTGGTCACAGATAATAAATATGGATGAAACGCTGTTAGCTTTCGACTCTCCTGCAAACAGAACTGTTGATGAAACTGGTGCAATAACTGTATCTGTGCTTACGACGGGGCATGAAAGAATGTCATTTACATGTGTGTTAGCTTGTGCCGCAAACGGTGGCAAGCTAAAGCCGATGATAATTTTTAAACGAAAGACTATTCCGAAGGGAGATTTTCCTAATGACATAATTATTTGTGCAAACGAAAACGGCTGGATGCGCGAAACAGTCATGCATGAGTGGCTACAAAAAGGTTGGCAGTGTCGTAAGGGATCTTTTTTCCAACCAAAAGGGTTATTGATAATGGATTCCATGCCTGCTCATTTACTTGAGTCGGTGAAAACTAGATGTCAAAAATTGTCTATGACCGTAGCAATAATTCCTGGTGGTTTGACAAAAATCTTACAACCATTATATTTGTCAGGTAATAAATCCTTCAAAGCTGAAGTCCAAAAGCGGTGGGAGTGTTGGGTGAGTGAAGGATTGCATACGTATACCAAAAGCGGTAAAATGTGTAGAGCATCTTAGGAAGAAGTTGCAAAGTGGGTAGGAAGTGCATGGAAATCGGTAAAAACATTGTCACTAATAGCAGGGTTCAAAGAAGCTGAAATTATATTCTTAGATAAAGAGACTGTAAACCAAGAGGATGAATGTGGCGATCTGGAAGACTTGGACTTAGATCATGATTTACCAAATCTTTTTAATTCAAATAGTGAAGAATCATATTTTGATGGCTTCATATGATGTATAGTTTGCTGTAATTCCTTTTGTAAGCAAAATTTAAAATTTCCTTTTGTCATCCAAATTTAATATTTCGTTGTTGCAACATTTTTTATAATATAGTCTGAGTATTACAAATGTGGACTTCTTTAGTGGGTAAATATAAGTATATACGTGAACGTAAATATATTTTCAACATTCCTTTAATTTATTTTTGAGTTATGGTTTCATTTCATGCATTTTTCTTAACTGATATGTCATATATCAGGACTTAGATTGAGATTTCGCATCTATACCGCACGTGCAATTTAATCTATTGCAGCATTTACGCTGATGCGGCGTTTCTGTGTAATTTTAATTTTTTTTCCCGCCATTTTTCTCGAGTGCAGAGTTTATGCTGATGTGGCCTTTCTTCCAGAAATTAGGGTACATTTATTCATTTAAAGAGTGAAACAAGTTTTATGAAGCTAGCTACTAATCATAAGTTGAAGTCATAATGTATCTTTGGCAAATAGTCCTCATGTATTTTCCTATAGTCAAACTTATCAGTTCCATCCAGTTTCGTTGTTGTATGGATCAGAAATTTGAAGTTATCTGAAGTTATTTGAAGTTAAAATCTGCAAAAATTACTAAATCCATTTAGTTTTGTTAGATGGATAAAAAGTTTGAAGGGTAAAATTCTGTAAATTTATTAAATACATTCCATACTAAATGTCAGTCTGTAGTTATAAAGTTTTTGGCTGTGCAATATTTCCACAACCAGGTTATGCTCAAAAATGGAGGAGAGACAGAACCTGTAGTTGAAGGAAGAATGCCTGCTACGGAACATCCAAAGAGGTTCTCCAATGAAAGAGGCCAAGAAGCAGCTCAAAATTGTTTCTGGAAGAGAAGGTGAAATGTGAGAGAAATAAGACTTGATGACAGTCCTAAAGACCAGTTTAAGAAGTGGCACTCCATCATCTTATATTAGTGTACTGTGAACAAGCTATCAAAGAGATTCTCATTTTCCATTCTTTCTTCCTGCGACATGAAAGTATAGATGATGTTTTCCTTATTAATGGGGAAAAGTGAGTGTTTGTTGTTTTTCACTGATTGTGCTGCAATTTCTTGATGCAGTCAGCTGATCAAGGGGGTCAGAGGGATTCTCCTTTTCGATCCTTTCCTCCCGCATCGTTAAAACATGGACACTTTTTCCCTTATCTGAGTGGGAAAAGTGCGCAGCGAATTTTTCGTTTGATTTCGTGAATTGGTGATTTATTTTGTTAACTTTACTGCTCATTGTTGTGCAAAGTTTGATTTATTTTGTAAAATAAAACAATAATTAATCCACCTTATTTTAATCTTTATTCTCATATCAAATCTCAAAATATTTATACAACTTAAAAAATGGATTTATTCTCTACCTTTTCATTTTCCCATTCTTATTTACATGTAATTCATACTGTTGGGAGTTTCACACATGCACTTTTTCAGTTCATTAGAGAATCAAGGGCTTTACTAGTAGGAGAAAAAGTGCAAGATAGAAAACCTTATGCACTAACTTGGTATTTGGAAACATGATAACCACTGAATGTAATCAGAAGACGTGTAAAGTGAACAAGAGTTTTTGACTGAAAATATATTGGTGTATATTTTTTTCCTTTATCTAAGACTGTATTGTTTCTAACATCAAATTTATTTTAAAAAAGTCATCTTGGTTTAAATGGTTTCTATTTCTTTCATGTTTACTGCAATTGCATGTTAAAATGCACGTTGTATTTTGCATTTTACCTTTCTGCTGTAAAAAAATTCAAAAAAGTGTTGATACTTTCGCATTTTTATAGCCTGTAGTTTTTAAATGCCACTAAGAATAATGATAAATCACTAATGATGTCCTAATATAAACTACTTAAATTTGATAGAATAAAGGACATGTGCTCTTTGTTTAGCCGCTGTTTAACTAAACTTTTGACTGCATGCAAAACGAACACCAGATTGGTTTTTAATTAACATTAAGATATCTATTGAAATTCTGTAACATGACTATTGTTCTGTGAAATGTTTTTTATTTTGCCATATAAATTCAATAAATTTTGTTGTATTCACCTTTATTTGTGATTCTTACATTTGAAAGTTGGTCTGATGTTTACATTAGCAGTGATCCCTTCCTTAGTTTATTTTTCATGAGAAAAGTTAGAAGTAGGCTACATATGTGTAAAATAGGTGTTTTTTTTTTTTTTTTTTTTTTTTTTTTCCAAAAATGCATTAACATTTTTAATTTACTGATGGCTGAGTAAAGTAAGAGCTGTGATTAGAATCTGTTTAAAAAAAAAAAAAAAAAAAGTGTTAACAATTTTTGATTTATGGACATCTGAGGAAGATGTTAAATCATTCTTCTAAGAAAGAGGCATTGTACTTCATTTCTAATGAACTTAGTGATAATATTAGCATCATTGTGATGGAAGCCATGATATTTGGAAAGTACCGAAGTGTATTATTAATATTGGAAATGTCAATATTTGGAAATAGTTCTTTTTATTTCTTCACTGACACTAATGTTATAATTTTGATATTTATGTAAACTGATTTTTCTGATAATTTATATTTAATTTATTTTTGTTTTTTTGTCTATTTCTCCCAGTATGCAAAAAATTTTCTATTTTTTGTTTGTAAGGTGTTTTCTCAGCCAACAGAAAAACGTGTAACATTCTTACCAATAAATGATTGGAAAGTAAATGCTGATAGTGTGGCTTGGTATACATTTAGTGAAGGAGCAGAACCAAGTACATGGGATTGGATAGGACTTTTTAGGGTAAAATATTCTTACTTGTTATTTGAAGGAATATTTATTTGTCTTTTATTATATCATGAAAATATATTTAATGATTAGTATGGTAAAAATATGTTCTTAATACTCCTTTCTTAAATATGCATTTTTAAATGTACATATATAATTATATTTATTTCTTCTAAGTTAAAGAGTGAGTGAATAGATTTTCAGCATTTCTAATAGATAAACAAAGTTATAATAAGTAATTAAAAAAAATTATAGATGCTATTTATTTCTTTTTTAAGTATTAATAATATTTAGTTTCAGGTTTTACCAAAATTAAGTAAAGAAATTAATTTTAGTTTTTATACAATGACATTATTATTTTATTTAATTTGAATTTTGATTTGTTTTTGTTAATAGTGTAATGTATTTATGTTGCTACGCTACCAACATAATACCAGTAAAAAATATAAAAAAACCTTGTGCATAAAATATTCATGCTTGAAGATGCATGTACTTTAAAATGTTTCTCAGTTATTCTGCTGTAAGTTTGATTAATAAATTTAATTGTTTGATAAAATTGGCAAGATTTCTTTAAACCTTTGTTGTGTTGTGAATAGTTGTACAATTGTACAATCACATTATTGCAAATAAATGGGAAGAATGAACATCAAACCATAAATTTCATCTTGTAAATTTTTAATTGGTTTTTAATTCAAGTGCTTATCCCCCCATCCATAAAGAAGCATGGCATTGTAAAACAGTACAAAATAGCAAATTAAATGGGTATTTAACATCTTAAAGGAGGAAAAGCCAAAATTCGTCAAAAAAAGAGTGAATAGTTGCCACATCTGACACCATAACACAAACAAATCACTATTGCAACAAAATGACATTACTACATTTTAAGAAAACCTATAAGCAACAATTTTAAGACTTAGAGTTTTTAGCCCAAACAAGCAATTTGCCCAGAAGTTCTGTTAATTTCGTTTTGGCATTTTCCGTTGATTCACTATAAATGGCGAATCACATTTTAAGTTGTTGCCACCAAATATTATGCCCTGTATTATATTTAAAAAAATTAAATTATGATGAATCTGCATAAATGTATGCATGCTTCTCGCATTGCGATAAAACAATGCTACCTAGAGCCATCAATTTTTGAATAATGTACATCTCCACCCAAATATGGACATCTGGAAACCCAAATTTGGAATTTGTTTTATTATCTATTTCATATTTTGTAAAGCATTTATGAGTTTTTGATTAAGAAATTCAATGATTTCAAAACGAGCAATGGCAACACTGTATGGGGAGCGCAAAAAAAAAAAAAAAAAAAAAAAAAAAAAATTATCTCCTGCACACGAGACTGTGTATCAGAAATTCTAAAGATGCGCTGTTTTAAATATTTTGTGATATTGCTGTTGAATTTAATTTTATGGTTTAAATGTGAAGAATATATTTAATAAATAAAGGTAATACATAAAATATTTTTAAAATGCCCCTTTGAGCATAATATAAAATTTAAAAAAAATGTGTTTTTTACTTTTTAAGGTTTATAGTTTGATTATGGGTCTGTGTGATCTATCAAACAAGAAAGGTGAAGCTCTAATTCTCTTGCAAGAGTATAATATATTGACTAGTAACTGTCAAGCAAGATACCATTTGAAGCCATGCTTAGTGGAGTTCATGTGGTTGCAGAAAGTTATAGCTCCAGATAAAAAAAGCCTTTGAAATTATTTTAGAACTAACTGTCAGATATTTTCCTCCTGAAATACATAAAATCTAATTGTATCAAGTTACTACTAAGTTAGCCAATTCTTCTCTGTTAACACATAAGTACACTGTGCAAAAGTAAGGGGGGACAGTTCTATATTTCCTGTTCTACTGGGCTGGGCCAATTGACGAAATTCAACTTGCATTTTTCATGTCTCGAGAGTATTTGTTATCTAACTGAATAAATCATGATATGTTAATTTAAACTTTTGCCAGAGTGATCAGCACAAGTTCGGTGCATGTTTAGCAGGATTTTGTAATCTGATAAAATGTTTTATTTTTGTTTAAGACCTGCAAAATACATTCTGAAATGCAATTCCCCCCCCCCCCCACTGAAATCTTATGTAATTTTAAGTATTGGCTTTTGATATTCGAGTTGGCAGCAAATAACTGTTTTTTGAATTTTAGAGTGGAAATTTTTTCCATTTATTTAGTTTTTCTAACATGAATTCAATTTCTTTTTTACACTCAACTATCTGAAATTTTCAAACTTTTGACATTTCCCGCACTTTGGAGATAGTTAAATCTTTTACTGTATTACTTTTCTGCAGAATTTCTCTTTTCAGTTATATAACTAATGTTTGCTAAAGTAAAATGCCAGATAAGGTTAATTAGCTGTGATAAAGTTAATTAACCCATTTCTTTGTCTTTCTGTTATAAGCTTACTTATATATTTTTTTTTAATTGAGGTCAACTTTCTTGTTTTTCAGGCAGATTATACAAGCACAGATGATCATGTTTGTTACATATGGGCTCCTGTGCGTCCTTCAAGTAGTACACCTGTTATTGCATCTGAATCATTTCCTCATGATCAACAGAATGAAGCAGAAAATGGAATTTGTGCTGCTAATTCCATGAGACAGCATCAGGGACCATGGTATAGAGTTGTCTTTGCAGATCAAACAATACTCATTCCTGGACGATATCGACTTTTTTATATTAGCTCAGAATTTGATGACATTTTAGGTGTGAGCGAACCATTTGAAGTAAGTTAAAAAAACACAATATTGCCATTCAGCAACACTGGAGGCACGCTCTGCTATTCTTTCCTGTCACTAACACTGGCTTTTTTTGTAAGCTCTACTTAAAGCTTCTTTTAATTGTTTTTCATTTATAATGCTGTTTCACATAACATTCTTGCTTGCATTCAGTGCATTTCATTTTAAATTTTTTCATAAAAAATGGTACAAAATGTTCCCAAATATTGCTGCTAAGATATTATAATGCATGGAAACTGGAAAAAAAAAAAAAAAAGGTTGTTCTTGTGTGTATTTTCTAAACACTTTTAGTTGGATGTATATATATTGCTAGTGTTTTCCACCTTGGAAACAGAACATGTTTTCTGCATTGAAAAAAAGAAAAAAAAAAAAAAAAAAAAAGAGGGGATATGATTTGAACTTTAATTGCTGTAGATAACTTTATTAAAATCTAATGGTTAAAAATTATTTTTTTTAATCCAAAATTCTTTTTTTGTATATATATATTTTATAGATTTCTTTCTTTTCTATTTGAATATGTTGTATGAAAATACATATCCCTTCTAATTTTGTTACATTTTGCTACTCATAATCAAGTAAAAGCAATGGAAGGATTAGAAATATAGAATATATATATTTTCATTCAATATAGCAATTCATTCAATATATTACTTTGATCTGAATACCGCTAATGAATTTCTAAATCTAAATCAGCCAAGATTTTCCACAAGTATAATTTTTTAAATTAATGTATTCTGTTTAATGAAATAATTTTTCATATCAGAGCAGATTTTCGTTTTTCTTATTTGGCATCTTGACCTTATATTTAAGTGATTTGTATTGTAGATTTCAGCACTTCATGACATTTATTGGACAAGTTCATATTTATTTCCAAGAGTAAATATGCTTATGCTTTTCTACATACTAGCTTCAAGGTTTATCTGAGGAAATATATTCAGGCTAGAAATGTGTATCTCTTAACTTTAACTGGAAAGAAAGGTGTACATACAAAATTAATTTTTTATGGTTGTCTGTATGAGTTATGCTATTTTATTTGCTAAAATTTTTGCTTTGCACCAATTTATATAAAATAAAAATTATGTTTTAATCAAATCTTCATATAATATCCTGGATGTGGTTTTGATTTGGTGGTAGTAAATATTAATCTGTAATGAGTGCATTGAAAAAATATATTATTAAAAACAAGATATTTTTTAAATAGATTTTAAAACCTTCTCTTGAGAAACAAGACATTTTAAATAGATTTTAAAAAATTCTGTTGAAAATAGAATTATTCAAATAGGGTTAAAAATGTACTATTCAAAATAGGATATTTTTATTAAAATGAAACATTGAAAAAGTGCATTTCTTATGCATTAACTTTCTTTTGTTGATTCCCCCCATATGACATAGTATCCATTATTGTTGAGGAGCAAAACAAAATAAGATGAAATTCTACTTTTTTATTATTATTATTATTATTATTATTATTATTACCTTATTTAGGGCTTGTAAATTTACCAACTTTTCCAGTTACTGGTAATTTTCTATTCCGAGTAAATAAAAAATAAACAATGCCGAATGCCAAAAATAGCTGTTTTTCATTCACCTTTTAGTAATTTTTATTAATCATTGATCATATCTGCTTGCGTATTATAGTATCAAATTATTAATTCTTAAAGACAATGAAACTGAAAATTGCTCTGTGTTTTGTAAAATTTAAAAGAGGGATTAAAGTTTACTAGATGTTTGGATTTTCTGTATTACTGTCTGTATTTATCTTGATAATTTTATAATTATCATCCATGTAAATACTTGTAAATAGAATATCATTCAATTTTTAATAAATTAATATGTATAATAATGTAAGTAATAATAATGTAGTTTTAGGGAAAGATAAAAGTTTTAGCATTTGAGTATAATTTGCTATTAGTCTTCTATAATTTATCTTAAAATTCTTAATTCATATTTATATTTTAAATGCTTTTAGACTGATCTTAATTTTTTATTATATTGCAGGTGACAACCTTTTCATTTTATCTTTTAGGATAATTCTCTGTAAATTAATAAAATAAATAAATAAATACTAATGTGGTGGTGAAAAGTTTTACTTAAGATTGAGTAGATTATTATTTGAGAGTTATATTGATTATTTGAAAGGACGTATGTGATGTATACTTATATATATAAATGAAAGAAATTTATCCTTTTTGTTATATTTTAAAAAATAAAATGTATTAAGTCTGTTAAAAATTGTGTTTTCACAAATTGAAGTTTTAAAAATTTAAAAAAAAAAAAAATTAACTTCTTCCTGGTAATAAATGTATCTCTTGTAAAATGCAAGTTTTGGATCAAGTTTAAAAAAGTTGCAATTTTCTATGTATTTATTTAAAGCAAGTGCTGGAATTATTTCTGCTGATAAAAAATATTTTTTTTTTTTTTTTTTTTTTTTTTTTTTTTTTTTTTTTTTTTTTTTTTTTTTTTTTTTTTTTTTTTTTTTTTTTTTTTTTTTTTTTTTTTTTTTTTTTTTTTTTTTTTTTTTTTTTTTTTTTTTACAGATTTCATAAAGATGTATTTTATGTTTATCTGTGTTTCTTCTAGTACATAATGTTTGATAAAGTCATATATTAATTTTACAGTTTTGTTAAATAATAAAGTTTTAAGTAATTTGAAATTGTAGAATTTTAGAACTAAACATAAATTTTTATAAACTCACTAGTCCAGTATAATGAAGTATTTGTAGAAAGGAACATGATTTTCTTGTAGCTTCAGAATGGAATGCCATTGTTATCAGAAGACTGGGAATGATATTTAGAAAACTGCATTTAAGAAACATAAAAAATGTACTTTATATAAGGAGCTTCATGTTGCTTGGTTGTAAAATTTCAATCCTTATTTAATTCAGAGATACATAATTACAGAATAAAAACATGTCAAAAATCAAAGAATTACATTTGAAAATATATATAAGTTCAGAATATCAGTATATACTCATCTCCATATGAGAAATATTTTCATGTAATAATTGTAATAGGCAAGTCAAAGTATTTTCTTATTCAATGGCTTACATTTATTGCTACTTTTCTTGTAAAATGTGTTCCCTACATTTTCATAGAATTATTCAAAATCTTTTAAAATTCATTACAAATAATTTAGATCTTTAATTGGTTTTCTGGCCTATTAATATATTTTGTTCTGAAGATTAAAGGTTGCTAATTATTTTGTCGGTATGTATATTAGACTGCTAAAAATACAAATGTTAGTTTTTCAGTAATTAACAGTTATTGCCTGCTGCTTTTTTGTTTTGAGATTATTCTGTCCATGGCAGGAATTAGTTTATCATTGCTATCTTTTTGTTTGTGTTTTAGATGCTTTTGGTTTATTTTTCCTAGCCTCTGTTATAGCATAATTAATGATTATTAATCAGAATAGTACATTCTGTTTTGTGTTTAATTTTGAACAATGTTTGATGTGAAAGGAATTAACTCTCAAATAATAAGATATTCATAATTACCTATTTGATTTAGGTAAATTTACTTGCATAATTTCATCACCACACTTAATATAAATTTTAAGTTTTAATTTCAGTTGCTAGCCTAAGAAGCAGCTCTATTTTGCCTTTTTTTTTTTAAATTAATTTATCCATAATACTATATAGGTATTGATAAGGAAAGGAATTTTTTTAATGCTTTAAGTGTTCTTTTTCTAATGTGGAAATCATGTGATTTACCTTCGGTTGTGTGACCTCACTTTATTTTTTGTTTCAAAATGTAGCATAAGTTAAAAAAATATACTAAGAAACCTTTACTTAATCATTCACATAATAATGTGACTTCTTGGTTTGTAATTTAATGTATTGCTAATTTTTTTATATAGTTTTACATCTATATCTCTGATATATATATTTAAGTTTCTTAATATTTCTTAAATATTTTAATTTAAATCTCTATTATTAACAATCTTCAGATAGTTTAATACATACACGCACATAAAATCGTCTTAACAGTTTTATAGAATATTTCTATCTTACTTATTATGGAATTATGGAATATTTAGATTTTGCTTTTCATTAGTTTCATTTAGATATTAAAAATTTATAAGATTCGCATCTTAATATGAATTTAAGTTAGTGGTCTCAAACTGATGCCCAGTGGGCCACATGCAGTTCCAATAATATTTTATATGGTTTGCAGATTCGATTCTAATTACGTATTTGTTGTAAATATGGTGTTAGAAAATTTTACGGTTTTACTTTTTTATTAATTTTTTTAGTACTTGACAAAAAATAAGTATGCGGAGTTGTGAATTTTTGCATTTTCAATCGTTTTACTTGGGATTGCACTTAGTTATTAACAGGTTTTTCTCGCAATTGAGAATTAAAAAGGAAAAATTTTTAAAGTTAATAATAATCACTCTTTCATTATTTATTCTCAAGTTTTGTCACACTTAAAAAGTTTTCATTATTTTTAGTTTATGCGTTTTATTTTACGTGATGATTGTTAAGTTTAAATTCGAGTTATTTCATGATTAATTAAATATGTTATATTTCATGATTAATTAAACATGTTAGAACTATTTGAAATAAATATCAGTCAGAAGATTTACTAATATTTAGCTATCAATGTGTGTTTGAATTACAAAGCATAACCAACCAACAAAATGCCTTGCAAGTACAAAATTTTAGATTTCAGATAGAAAATAAAAATAAATTTGAATTTTTTTCCCTTGGTGTTATTAATGTCATTTAATTTTTGATAAATGTTTGCTAAGTGGAATTTAAATTTTAGTTAAAATATATTTTACTTTGTTGATAAAAAAATTTCATTTTATTTAAAAAAAAAGTCTTGTCTGTCAACTGTTTTCTGATCATGCATTTGGTCTGCAGGCAGTTTGATTTTGAGACCACTGATTTAAGCAATAGTTTTATGGAGTTTCATTTGTGTATTTTTAAAAGCTTATTAGTGCATTTATTTCAAGCAGTAGTTACTTTCACTGAAACTGAGCTGCTTTGCTTTTGCCCCTTGCTTTTTAATCAATCATACTGCAATCTATTTTGTTGCCCTCATTATTTGACTAATTTATAAACTTCAAAAAATCTGCAGTATGATCCCTGCAATGAATCTCTTGCTCTTGGTGATGGTTCTAATGGTGGTGGTCAGTTTGGTGATTTGCATCTGCTGGCTTCTGTTGCTGTGGTCATATTTGCAATGATCATGATGATCATGAAGGTATGACAATTATGATTTCATAAATCATGCAGATCCATGAACAAGACTGAAGAAGATTTTTTGATGAAGCTATCATGACAGTGAATCAAAAGGCAAGGATGGAAAATTATATCAGCAGTATGAAACTGGAAGAACACTGCCAAAACAAACTTCATTTGCTGAAAATTTTATTATGTAACTATAAATTAGAGATGTGACTGATCATTTCTGATTTAATTTTTATTGACTCAAGAAACTTAAATTTCAGCTTTTATATTTTTAATAATTTCTATATGTAATAGGTGTGAATTATTGTAGAAGTTAATATCATTTTGTAAATAATATTTATCCACTTTATAAAGTTTTAAACTAATTCATGAATTTTTAGATTGAATTAAGCATGATTCGCATGAAGCATATATATTTAGTGTTTAATTTTTTAAATAAGAAGGTAACTATGCAACTATTGATGGACTTTCTGCATACTGAACATTTAAAGCACTGTCTCCATGGTAAAAATATTCATATTTTGTCTAATGTTTTATTTGTATGTTATGAAATGCAATATTTCTTGTGGTGTTCTTTCTTCTTTTTTTAATAGAATAAATTTTAAAGTCTTCATTAAAATATGCAAATTTTTATTGTGAATTGCTGAACAACACTAGCAAACGCTTATTATCCTTCAAATGGAAGTATATTGTATAAAACATATAGCAGTTAGTTAACCTACCACTATTGAAAAGTTAGTTGTTATGTTCTATTTAAAATTCTAGGCAGCTATCATAATCTGTAATAATTTTCAAAATTTGTATATGAATTTACATACATCTTAATCACATATGTGTAAAGTGATAATTTTGAAGCTTGACTGTTTTAGCTTAAAAATCAGTTGTATAAAAGAATTATTAGCATAAAAATCAGTTGTATAAAAGAATTATTGGTAAAAATTTATTCATAACTTTTGTGATGATTCCTTGTTTTATTTATTATTATGCCTTATATTTAAGATTAATCATATTTTGATGAATAGTACTTGTTTTTTAATAAGTCTTGGTTTGAAATGTCAATCAGAATAGTAGTATATGGAATAATAGTACAAAAATGTTAGCATTTTTTGGCGTAACTATTATTGCGGAAAGTTTCCTATCGTTATTATTAAATTACTTTTTGTTATAATAGTTGTTCCAGATTACTTAAAGAATGTAACTTTTATGCAGTATTTAATATGAAATTTGAATTTTTATATATAATTTTCAATCAAAAATTAGCTTAGGCAATAGTTTTGTAAGATATTTTTATATTTTATAGTAACCTTGATGTTTTATAAATGATAATTAGCAAATAAAAATTTTAAAAATTATATATAAATATAATACAACAGGGAAACTTACTAGCATTAATTATTGCTATTTCATTTCTAATTTTAGGAATGTAGGTTCAAAATTTATGTTTATTACAACAATATATAATTTGAAAAGTGTTTAAAAATAAGATTATGGTAAATTTTTTGTATAGTTTCAACTGTTTTTTAACAGTACAGGGTGGGTCAGAAAAAGCTAATGGTTTGTAAAACAAAATAACACAATAATTACAAAGAACACATTTTTATTCATGTTGTAGCTTTACAGTTTAATGTACACCATTATTCGGGAAATAATTACAACAATATTGAGTTCTACAAATGACAACTTTCAGGCATCCTCCTCCTTGGTGTTAGCATGGGTGGAATTGATCATTGAAACCAGTGGCAGACCTACAACTGGCGAGGCCCAGGGCAGAAATCTCTCTGGGGCCCACCTTATTGAAATGATCACCATACAAAATGTCAAAACAAATATATAATTAACATTTATTTAATGAAAATTAAATATTGAAAATGATTTTCAAAACACAAAATCTTAAGACTGAGGAAAAAATAGTACTTTCATGTTATTCTGTCGACCAGCCATGTAGTGCTATTTAATACCCATTGTGGATGACTGTATCCTTTCGAATTCCACATTAATGATTTTCTATTGGCAACCATTGCCAAAATTTTCGCCAACAGTCAACAGAATAATACATAAGTACTGAAGAAACAAATTACTCCTAACAGAGAAACACATATTTAAAAATATACATATTAATCTACCGTTTTTGATGAAAATTTATTTAATGGCTTTACAAAATGAAATGTTTTTAGCTATTGCATGTTCATTAGAAAGGGTTGCCAGACCGGTAAGTCTTAATTGGCTCATTGTTGATCGAAAGTAGCTTTTAATCAACTTCAGCTTCGACAAGCTTCTGTTGCAAGAAACAACTGCAACACATTGTCAAAAATGTCTTTAGTGCCATATATAAGCTAAGGATTGAATCTTGGAAATCTGTTTCTGCAATAAACTTTAATATTTTCAGTTTGAATCACTTTTTACTTTCGTCCCTTTTTATAATCCTACATATAGGTATATATTACTAAGGTTCATCGTGCCTGCCCCATGCTCGAAATATTATGTTATGTGTTGCTGTGTTGCAACATTTCTGTTGGTATGGTAATTACTTGCCTTTGAATTACAGCCTTTAGCTCAAGTAAAGAACAAGGTTTGGAGACTTCACATTCTCGCTTTACAGTAACCCTATAGGAAGACATCACAAGCCCAAAGATTAAGTGATTGGGATGACCATGCATTATTTCCACATCAGGAAATAAAACATTATGGGAACTTTCTTCTCAGTATTTCTACTGAATTCATAGCCATGTGGGCAGTTTCCTATCTCATTTGGAAAAGTTTCGCTGATAAACTCCAGCAGTGAGTGGATTGAGGAAGATCTCATCTTCAGAATTTAATAGTGGTCTAATTTATATTTTTGCCCCTCAATAATGGCATGCAATAAATGCAAAGGTACAGCATGAATCAAAGTGAGCTTTTTGTATTTATGATACTTTTTCCAAAAAACTGTCGTTTTTCTGCTTGACTTTGTAGTTTTGTATCATCTTTCCTCTAATATTTTGTAATATACTTGTTTTTAAAAAGTCATGTCAAAGTTTTGAATGTGCCAATGTTTGTCACTGGTTTTCCTTTCTGTATTATGATTAAATTTCGAAATTTAATAAGTATTGGTTTATTGATGAGGCTACACCAGCAAAAATTTTGTAACCAGTAGTTTTATATGCAGGATGTCAGTTGGAGTATTACTTCTAATAATAAAAAAGATGTCAAGCATATACTATTATTTTCTAATCGATTTTTCTCTTTTACTTACTGTATTATATAGTGGATTTTCTTAATGTAAAACTTTGGACAATTTAATGTAAAACTTTGGACGTATTAAAAAGTTCGAAGCTCCAAAAGTATCAATTAAAAAAATGATTTCTAAAATTCTGTTGTGAATTCAAATTTTTGATACTTCTAAGTTTTGCTAGTCTGCAAATTCAAATCAACAAGAGATAATTATATATCTTGAATCTAGTGTCTGTTTCTTTTGTATTTCCTATCAAGAAATACATTTCAGTAATTATTCTCATGCTGATTAAATATGAATATTACACATGGAATATTAATATTTGAGTGCTAATCAATCATCTTCAGCCTTATAAACATTCCAGTTGTAAATTTCATAGTCATTTGCATGAGGTGTTTTTCAGTATTAATTTTTTTCTGCTTTATTGTAATTACATTTTAATCAGTTTTAAAAATTTATTTTTCATGTAATTCATTGACTTAGAATTTTTCAATTTATTTTTTGTATTTTATTTATTTATTATTATTATTATTATTATTTTAGATCTTTATAATATTCTCTTAATAAAATGCACGATTTTTTTTAAAGTAACATTAAAAAATTCTTTCACAATCCACAGCGTTCTGTTTCAGCATATTAAGCATAATGCTGACTATAGTAATTTCATTATAGGGGAATATAAATAAATGCAAATATATACTTGAAAATTATTAATAGTATTTATATGATGATAATAATATGCCATTGAGTAAATGGTATCAGTTTGTAAAATAAAAGTTGTGGAAAGTGCCAATAAACGAATATGATAAAACAATTATAATAGCTGGTGGAATAATTATTTATGTAATTTACAGTCAAATTTCTTACTGAAATTCATTTCATTCAAATAATTCAAAAAACGGAATTTTTCTTCAGTAATATGTTTGTGTAATGAAAACTTTACCATTTTCACTTATCATCATGTGACAAATCCCTGCTTTTGCATAGCATCAAGATTCTGGTCATAAACTAAGAAATTGTTATTCGTAGGCAGTGAAATATTGATGTTAACAGAACATCAAATTTATGTTATTTATCAATTATTTAACGTGTACTTTTATAAATTGTCCCGCATTATATATTTTTATATTACTTTTTATTTATTTTAAATAAAATAATTTTCTTATAAATATCTTTACCAATTGGTTTTTTAGAGATCAAATTTCTTAAAATTGTGATGTATTTTTCCCTCTTTAATTTTAATTTTCATCTGTATGAAAAGTATTGGGTAGGTACAATTAATGATAGTTAACATTTTCTGTGCCTTATTATAGAATTTTATGTAAAGGAAGTGTGTATTAAAAACAATGATGTCTGTTATATAGATCAAGCTCTCGTTTCTTAACGTTTTGCATTACTATTCGCATTTTGCAAGCACGGTTTAAATATTCTGTGTCTTTTATTTATATGTTAATATTTATCCTATATATGGTTTTGCAAATGATGCATAAATATGCATGAAAGTATCTGTTGTGCCTACGATGCGTTATGTAGAAAATGGGGATATCGTGCCTTTACCTTTAATAATTATAAACTGTTGTAGAATTGATGTTGTATCCTATTCATTCCATTGCATTTAATAATTAATGTTGTAGAATTGATGTTACTATATTATATATGTTTAATTAAATTTAGTAATTAATATTTATCTTATATGTATAACTTATTGTTGTGAAAACAAATGAATTTTAACTTTATGCAAGTTATTTTTAGAAACTAAATAAGACATTTTTAGAATTGCAGATAGGTTATTAAGTAATCCCCCCCTTTGTATCATTGAGAAAAAGTAATTCTTTCTATTTATTCTTTGAATTAACTTATTTTTTTAAAGACCTATATAAATTTATGAATATTGAAAGGACAACTTTTCATAGACTTTTATTAAAAATTTCTTTATGTTCATAATTGCTGTATTTAACTAAATGCCATGGAATATGTAACACAAAAAAAAATAATGCTTTTGTTTGTGTGTGGAAAACAAGAAGAAATGTTTATATAAACAAGATATTCAGTTTTATTTTATTTATTTATTTAATTTTATATATAAAATGGAGCAATTGCAGTTTTTGTGAAAGGCTGAAACTAAGTAGTAAATTGCAGTGAATTTAAAAAGTAGTTGCACAGAAAAAATGGCTGTGATATTAAGGGGACAGTGAAAAGTTTTATCACCACCAATGTTAAATTCATCAATTTTTGTGTATTCCTCTCTTCCCCTTCTTAGTATTTCAAGTAATATTTAATAAGATCCAAATAATTCGAATATATTAATTCCCTAGTAATATCATATCATCATTGAGTGAAGTTAATAAGAGCAAATCCAAAGGAACTGGAGTAAATTTTAATGTCTATGAATGTTTTTATTTCGTGTCTTAATTTTTTTAATATTGCAGAAACTGTTCTTCCAAGTAAAAAATTAGCTTAACTGAATTTTACTGAAATAATTTACACCTTAAATTTTCAAAATTATATATAAAATTTTATTCTAGAAATTTTAAAATTTTTATTTGCATTTTGCAGTATTGCTGAAGCTGTCATTGTTTCCTGCATGATTGTTATGCTTTGAAAATCATTTTTTAAACATCATTTAGTCTTTTTATATATATATATATAAGCAGGAAACTTTAAATCTATTGAATGTTGTTAAAAAGAAAGACTGAAGCAGAAGTGCATTCATTTTGGTGCTATTGTCATCAGTATCTATAACATGCTTCTGGGAGTATCTTAATTTTTTTTATAATTTGCTACATTTTCCTTCATGTTTGAAAAATTAATTTGATAGTTCCATGGGGAGAAAAACAACTTCATTTCTTACATGAAAATATTTTATATTTTATCTGTTAATTGTGAGATATCTTTTCTCTGTCAAAATAAAAAAAGAAATTTAATTGGAAAAATTTTAATGGAAATATTTTGGAGCATTAATTAACATTTTGTACTTCAGTAACAGGTTAATTAGTTTATTATATATTGTGTTGATGAGGTGTAGATAAAAAATGCATGTGTGGTTTAAAAATTTTCAGAAGAATAAAAAATCAACATTAAAACAAATCAAGCTATATAGTTGGCTTTTCTTGAATTAGAAACCATGGCTGTGATTGTGTGTAAAACATACTTTTATTATAGTTTGTTTTTCAGAGCTTTTTTTAAAAAAAGTACTATGCATAAAAGAATTTGCATTTAATGTGTGGATCTATAATCTAATTACATTTTATTATGTTTTCCCCCTTTTTGTGGGAATAAATTCAATTATATCATTTTGCTTCAACACTGCATTTGCTATTTAACTGTTTCAAGCATATCTGTCAACATACCTCCATTTGCCAATGAGTTATCTCAGCACGTCATGCATATAATACTCAAAATTTTGTATGCTTGATGACAATACCATTTCGTTATGCTGTTATTATGACTGTTTTTCATTACGATTTGATGAATAAATTAATTTATTTTTTGCATTTAAGATGTGAAGAGCATACGTATTTCATGTATACAATTTTAAAAAGGTAATATTTTTTTATTTATGTATGTGCAAGTTGACATTTGCATACTAGGAATTTTTTGTATCTGCTTATGTATATTTTGAAATTATTATTTTTAGCATAGTAAATTGTCTGTAGGCTTAAAATTTAACAGAGCATATTTTTCTTAGTTGACAGATATGCAAAACAAATATGTTATGATTGTTTTTTAAGAATGAAAATTTCAGGTTTTGTGTGATTTATAGATTTCTTAACCTTTTTCTGAACTTGACGGTTTGAGAGATTTTCCTTGAAAGTTCATAGACCGTTATAAAAAGAGGTAACCAGTTTTAAATGGCTATGAAATCTTGAATAAAAATAATATGAACACGCATCCACTCTGATGTATATTAGCATATCTATATTTCATTGGTAAAATCACTAAACACAGGTTTTTCTCCGATAATAATCAAGGAAGATTGAAACATGTATGGATGTATAAATATAGTATAATATGAATATAAGCAAAATTTAAGATGTGAAAGTATCTGTGAAACTTAAGATGTGATGTGAAATTTAAGATGTGATCTGGAGTATTATTATTAATAAATTTCTTTGTGGTCCTCTTTTTGAAATTTGTAACATTCTGCAGTAGAAGACATGAATCATACCCTTGATAAATGAGTACTATTTAAGTACCCATAAGGATTAGCTGAATCATTGCAGTTCCCTTACCTGCTCCACATAGAATCCATTGCCTAATAAACAAATGTAAGAGTATGTCCTAAAATAAGAGGGGGATATCATAAGGTTTTGGGTAAAAGATAGCAGTTGGCTACAATTTTTTTACATCATCTTATAGTATTTATAAATTCATTTTGTAGAATATCCAGATTAAAATAATGATCAGTATAATGTGTACATAATTATGCAGATATTTTTTTTAACTATTTGGATATTAGTATTTTGTAAGCTGTAAGCTACATATTTGATTATTGTTTCAAAATCATAAGAATAAATTATTCTTTGTTTTAAAACAAAGAAATGTTTTGCTTTTTATTTTCAAAATTGTTCTACAGTGCAAGAACTGAATTAATAAAAAGTTTTTATTCTTGAATTTAAAGAAATCTGAAAAATATTTCTCCAGATTTTTTGGTATGTCTTCCAGCTTTAGTCCTCTTCTGTTATGTGTTTTATACCTTGCTTTTATAATCAAATTAGATTTCTTAATTTCTGTTTTATTTATTTTCGCTTAGTAATTAAATAACAATAATTCCTTTTTATATTCTTTAAATGCAGATTAGAATATTTGTATTAATATGATTTATTCCTTTAATTTAAATAGCGTTTCTCAAGCCTTTTAGCATTTACTTATTAGCAGTGAATGATATCTTAACTTCTTTCTGTCTCGGGTATCTAGTCATTAAAAACAATTCGTCAGAACGAGTTTTCAAAAAATTTTTAAGTAGTTCATTGTAGATCTTTAATTTCAGCTATGTTATACTAAAAAGGAACTTAGGATCACATGTAACCCAAACATAACTGCATAGATTCATATAAAAGATTTATTATTTTCAAAAAGCATAAAAAATTCAACTTTAATTATATGTTTATTCGTGACCACTTTAAAGCTCATGTAGAAGAAAATCAAAATTCTGTATAATGGCAGTGGAATTCAAGCTAAAAACAAAACAGGAAGGTAGAGTTGTTTTATGCTGCATTAGGCCAGAAAAAGCATCAAAGAGATGTACACAAATAAAAGTAAAAATTAAGTAAGATATAAAAAGGTAAATAAAAATATTTATAAATTACTTATGATTAGAGGAATTAAAAATTAAACTAAGGAATCATGAAATGGCATAAAAAAATTTAAAAAAAGGAAGGTAGCTTAATAGCAAGGCATGGTGTGCTAATAGTAAGAGCTTTTAAATAATATTCTTTGAAATAAAATTCTAACCTTATTTAGGCATTTAATTAATTTAAAGGCATCTTAATAGAATGGGTTACATCTATAAATATTTCTTTTCCTGAAGAGGCAGCATTTCGAAATGGGTGACAGATTCCTCGGGTGCACAAATGTTTCCATATATTTTGCAATTCTGACAGAAATTGAGGTATTATTTAGTAGCTATGCTATTTGAATTGACTATAAAACAAATATACCATTATTAACAGGATTTTCTGTTTTTAATGTACAAAAAAAATGAAAGTTATACTACTAAATAAATATTACTCCTCTATGAATCTGTCTTAACCAATAATGTTATAAATACATATGCCTATAAGTATACTTCACAAAATGCACTTTATTAAGCTTTGTAACAGAATAATAGATTTCTTTTTGATACGGTTTCTACTGTTTTAAGGTAATCAGTTAATAGATTTTCCTTTAGCTCGTATCAGGCGAATTTATGTCAATATTTTGATTTGATTCTAGAAAAAGGAAGGGGATATTCTTCCATAAGTTTCTAAATGTTCCATTTATTCTCAAATTTATGAAGTGGATGTTACTGTAATTGAAGAAAAATATGTATTTCTTATTGATATCTTTTCAGTACCTTCCATTGGCAGCAGCTTTGTTTCTAGTTTGATTTTTACCTGTATAATTTTTGTGGCAGAAAGGCAAAATGGTATTTAGATTGCCACTAGGTTTTGTATTTTAGTTTGAGAAGTGCTGGTAGACATTCTATTACACTTATTTTGCTATTAATTTTTTACTCAGTTCAATCTTCAATTTTTGACCCTTGTAACATTTGAAGAGAAATGTGATAAATATATATCTACCTTATTTTTTAATACTATTTTGTTGTAAGATTTCATAAACTACTGTAAGCCTCATTTTATTAGTACAACTCAATAATTAGTGTCATTCAAATGTTTTATGTATAGTTTTCCATTTGTTTTAGAAGTAACGTAAGAAAATGTGTAAATATTTTACTTGACCAAATTTCTTCATTATTATAATATGAAATAAATCAAAATATAACTATTTGTGAAATTGTTGTTATACTGTAGCTTTAACATAAAATGAGTGTGAATCATACATATTGTACTTAAAAAGTTATTTATTAAAATATTTTTATGAACCATGTTGTCAATAATTCTTTTTTACACATTTTAAAAAAATAGGGCTTTCATGAAAAGTTAAAATACCGTATTTACGTGAATCTAATGTGCATCGTTTTTGGCCAAATGTAGTATTCAAAATTGGGGTGTGCATTAGATTCGAGTGAAAAGTTCGCCGATGACGTCAACCAAATTTTTTCGACTTCATTTACCGTTACATTTATCGTTGACACATTATTGCATAGAGGATACAAACTGCAGAGTACGTAGTCACGAAATGGAGGGCAAACAGAGAAGAATGTCATGTGACGCTACTTTCAAACGTAAAGTAATTCTTTATGCTGAAAAAAATGGCAATAGAAAGGCAGAGAGAGAGAGTTCAACGTAGCTGAGAGCAATGTTCGCTTGTGGCGGCAACAGAAATTGGCACTGTTTGCAACTAAAGCTAGTAGAAAGAAATTCACTGGCCCTCGCAAAGGAAGACACCCTAAAATTGAAGAAAAATTTTGGAATTTGTATGTGAGAGGAGGAAGAATGGACAAACTGGGACTAGTGACACCATAAGAAATAAAGTAAAAGAGGAGACTGAAGTTCTTGGAAATTACGAAACAAGAGTTTAAGGCTAGCCGTGGATGGGTGGATCGGTTTATGAAGTCGGATGGGCTTATCTCTAAGACGCCGTACAACAATATGCCAAAAGCTTCCTGCAGATTTTGAGGGAAAAACTACTAACATTTCAGCGGTATGTCTTCTCACTTCGGACACTTCGAAAGAAAAAGAATTTTTAAATGATTTTTCAATGGGGCAAATTGGCAATGCTGACGAGACGCCAATTTGGTTTGATATGCCTCGTAACTACACCATTACGGAGAAGGGGACTAAGGAAGTTATCATCAAAACTTCGGGATGTGAAAAACTACGCGTAACAGTGATGCTGGCAACAAGAGCAGACGGGTGCAAGCTTCCCCCTTTCTTTATCTTCAAATGGAAAACATGCATTAAAACCCCTAAGAATGAAAAGCTGTTCCCAGATGATGTCCTGATTCAAAACCAAGAGAAGATGTGGATGACGGAATCATTAATGCTTGATTGGCTCTGAAATGTATGGAAACGCCGTGCCGGTGGGCTCTCTAATCCACCATCAGTGCTTTGTCTGGACGCATTTCGTGGTCATCTCACCGACGACGTAAAAAAGAAGATGCACAGCCTAGGCAGTGATCTTGTTATCATTCCTGGAGGGATGACGTCTGTGTTACAACCCCTAGACGTTAGTATAAATAAACCTTTTAGGGGTACGTTCAGGCGGAGTACGAAAAATGGTTTTGTGAGCCAAACCGTGTATTGACCCCGACATGAAAAATTAAGCATGCTGCACCGCACATTGTTGCACACTGGGTTTCTGCTGCCTGAAAAAGCATCGAAGCACCAATGATTGTGAAATCTTTCAAGAAATGCTGCATTTCAAATTCACTGAATGACAGTGACGATGACGTGCTCTGGAACGCCGAGGATGAGGATGACGATGATGAGGAAAGAAGAAATGAATCTGCTTCTGACGAAGAGAGCTGCGAGGATTCCAGTGATGAAAACATTAGTGAATAAAGACGTTTACTATTAATCACTGATTGTAGAAACTGTTAGCTAGATAGAAATGTTACGATTTATTTCATGTTCATATTTTACGATAGGTACCGTATATACGGTAGTGCTAATTAACAATGATTGTTTCACATGACAATAGCCCACTAATAGGTTAATTATATGTTCTGCTACTTTATGTATAAATCCATTGTTGTATAAAATATGGTATCTAAATTTAAATAAAATTATCATACCTTTAATTGATAGTTTATATACAAATCCATTGTTGTATAAAATAAGATTCAATAAATTCCTCATATCATTGATGCGCATTACATTCGCCAACAAACAATTTTTTTATTATTTAAAGTTTTAAAATGGGGATGCGCATTAGATTCGCATAAATACGGTATCTAGATTAGAAATTCATTTTTAAACTGAAGTAAATTGAAGATAATTACTCTAAACTTCTTTTCAGAACTGATTTGTTACTTATTTTTTCTTTAATTTATTGTATTATTATTAGCAGCTTTCTGAGGATTGCTTTAATTTTTCACAGTTATGCAAAAGCTTGCATACCTTATGTTATTCCCTCATACCTCTAAAAAAAGTAAGAAATTAAAGAAAACAATTTTGCCAATATTATTTCAATGCTATAAGCAAAATGAAAACTATGCTAATCATAGTTTTAAAATCTTTGTTCTGTACTCTTCTGTTGCTTGTTTGGATTTTATGGCATAAATCTGTCGTGTGCATTTTTTTTAAAAAAAAAAAAAATTATGTTAATTTAAAACAGGGTTGTAGCTAGGGTATTCTGGGGGGGGAGTTCTGATTTGCCAATATCTGAAATTTTGTAATTTTCAGGAGAGCACTTTAAATGTTAGATATGGCAAACCGTTTTTTACTTCCTTGTACGAAGTAAAAAGGTAGTATTGTAATCTCAAAAAGTTTCAGGCAGCATATTTCAACGAAAATATCCATTTTGACCATTATCAAATGCAATTTAACGATGTTTTTGCGTGATATCTGTACGTAAGGACAGAATAAAAGACTCGTTTCCTCAAAAAAAATTATAAAACCGCTTTAAAAATTAATTCTGAAGAGAATTTTTCGTGGCATCTGTACGAATGTATGTAAGTACGTATCTCGCATAACTCAAAAACGAGTAGCCTCAGAACGTTGAAATTTTGTATATAGGACTGCTATAACATGTAGATGTGCACCTCGTATTTTGGTTGCTATCGGCCGCACCAAACATATATAAATATATTTATATATATATCTACTCTGTTACCCGGCTCAGTTTCTTTACTCTTATATGTTTGTAAATATTACATTTTTTGCTTTAAAAATGATTGAATTATGTTGTTTTTATCTTCCGGTTAAGGTTTTTATGATTTTAGTAAATCTGTATGCAATATTTTTAGAATTATCAACAATTTTAAAGTTGTTTAAGTGCCGCTAAGCCTTTTTTTTTATGACGGCCATTGATTGTTTACATTTGAAACAGCAGACTAGTGGATTTGTTGCCAATCTAGAGAAACTTAGCTTCGTAACCATAAAGATAACGCCTTCATTTATTATTGCCAATTAAATCATGCTTAATCCTTTCTGGAATTTTTTCGAGGAAATAAGTGTTTAAGATTTACTTCGTAATTTTTAATATTGAAATTTTGATTTTTTATGTATTTTTGTTTTGTCGCGAAGTGAAAACTGAATTAATTGAATGAGAAAATACTCAATTGTCTGTGAAAAACTGTTTCTTTTTGTTTTGTTTGCTTAATTTCTTTTATACATCGTTCTAGCTTTATTATAGTATTTGAATAGAACATGTGGCAACGATTAGATAATTCTTTAAATGATATAAATTTTGTGGATTCTGAGTTATAATATGAACGAAATATATAAGTTAACTGTTATATAATTGTTGTATTATATAACAGTTAACTTAGTTTCTGTTATATAATTATTATATAAGTTAACTGTTATATAATTATTAATACTGTTAAGTGAATCTAGCGCCAGAGTGTCGCTATGATAAACAAATACTAGAGTGAATTTTAAAGAATGCATTTATTGTATTGTGGTTTATGCGCTGTTGACGAAGTAGATTTAATTCAATGAAATGCAAGAAAAAATTTAATATATATATTTTAATATAATAAATTATATTAAAATATAATTTAATATTCCGTACAAGGAAGTCATGTGGTGTACACATCAGATTTTTTATTTTTATTTTAATATGCATGACATCACAAAGGACTGTTAATTTTTATATTTTTTATTAAATTTAATTCTTCATGATTTTTGCTGCAAATGATCTGTGTTAGCATTATTGTCCATTTAAATGTATCTTTGTTTGGTTTGCTAATTTTAATGATTTATTTAATTATTTGTTCACATGCCAATAATGAAAAATTTATTTATAAAGGATGTCCATAATTTATTCACTGGATAAAGTATGTTTTAAATAATACATAATAAGAGATAGGGAAAAAAGACATTGAATTTTATTCAGCACTTCAAAGAATTTTATATTAATACACTTCAACATGAGTACCATTAGTTGCATGGGGAATATCAAGTCTGTACTTGATTTTCCTTCCGACCCTATTAAGCATTTGTGAAATTACAGTAATTGTTTTTGTGGCAACTCAATTTTTTAATTATTTGATGCTGCGAATCTCTGTAACATAAAGTTGGTTCTTCAGGTATGCATAGAAAATGAAGTGAAATGGTAGGATGGCCATGAAATTGGTCCACCTCTACCAACTGATCGATCTGGGAATGTTTCATCAAGGAAATCACACACGTATAGCCCAATAACAGGGATCCCTTCCTGTTGGGAAAAAAGTTTGGCTGTAATTCTAATTGCAGTACAGTAAATATTCTTGACATACCAAGATTGAGAAAGAAGAAATGGGGAGGGGCATGAATAAACATATGTGGGGGCACTGAAATCTTCTAAGGGGTTAATCAGGTCTTATTTCAATCAGTTGCATCTGTAGGAATTCCATGTTCCTTTAGAATTTCCGATAAGCAGTCTTGTGCACTGGAGATGATGCTGTTTTAATCCGTACGGTATTGAAGTCATTTAGTTTGTTAAAAATTCATTTACGAAATAACCACTAATAAAATTTCTGTGTGTCTGTTTGTTTGTGACATCACTTCCTCTGGAACAGCAGAGAGTTGAGTTTCAAGAGAGATACCATCAGATTAAAATTAATCGTGAGGAGCGATTTTGACTATTCTCAGTGGCGTAGCTAGGATGGGGCAAGAGGGAACATCTGTCCCCAGGCCCAACATCGAGAGGGCGCCAAACTGTGATTAAGAAATTTTAGAATGAAATGTTTTCCATTCTTGGCACACAGAAGGGAGTGCAAAATCTTCACCTGTCCCTAGGCGCTGGAAACTCTAGCTATGCCTCTGACCATTCT